ACCTTAAACCGTTAAATTTTTATTTAAATTACTACTTAAACTAACAGTATTTAACGTCCATATAGTTACATATATTTTAAACCGTTAAAGTGTTTTATTTAAAAACCGCTGACCATTTAATCAATAAATATTACTAATACGATTAAATGCAAGATGCGAAAGAGCAAAAATCAATATTAATGAATATTTATTCAGTTTCAAAAAACTAAATCCAGGATTTCTTAATTAATCTCAACAGCAAAGTTTGCAATTAGATTAAAAAGGATCTCAGCTGAGAGCTTATTAGTTGTTAGCAGAGTTTGTTAACATCGTTAAGCTATATCTATGTTACAACATTTTCTATTATATTAAATGGACTTTTGTTCTTCGCCAGATCAGATTTTGTTGAATCCTCACTATTTATGATTTTGTAAATATCACAGTCACAGAAGTATCTCTTACCCCTTGCCATATATGTGCCTAGTAAAAACTACTGTACTACTAAAACTAATTAATTATATAATATACTTTTAAACGACAGAGAATACAGACAACTATAGAGGTTCATTTGATGGTAGGCCATATATCTGAACAAGATGCAATATCGAAGCTTCAAACATTCGGAAACCACAGATTGATGCGCACAACACCGTCTACTTTTTTATCTGTGGACGGTGGTTCGTCACCCAGCATGAATTTAAATACTTCTACGATACAGAATAGCCAAATTTAATAGTCGAAGGCCAACATTCAGCAACATTTTAAAGTGATTAGAAACATGTTGGGAACAATTCACTTGAATCGACACGTTGATTATAAGAATAAATTGTTACTTATCAACGAATTATGCTTTTTAAGGTTTGATGTTTATTATACAGCAGTACAATGGCTGGACAGCTCCAAGGTGGCCCTAACCTTCTCTAGTCGCGATCTGTCCCTGTGCTTTCAGTTATCAACGCTCTAGATTTCCAGGTCCTTAGCAACTCCACTTCACCAGCGGAGCCTTGGTCTCCCGGGCTTTCGTTTTTCCCTGGTTGCGAAATCAGCAACCTTGGTACACTTCTGTTCACTATTCTGTGTACATGTCCTAGCCACTTAAGTTTGTAGCTTTAAATCAAATGGTATTTCATTACTATACAATTAATATGCAGTACATTCTAGAAATATTTTTTTTTAGATGAGAATTACAATAGAGGTAATGCGATTGAGCCGTAGAGCCAAGACCTGGTCACATACACTAGCACGATACTGGCAATTTCCTTGCTCCATGTTTACAGACGCTGAGACGCAGTTTACCTGCACTCAGCTTTATCGCTGGAGTGCGCCACAATGAAAGCCTTAGCCTTTGTCTGAGCCAAACTCGACCGAAGCGGGTTTAGAGAACTTAAGCTTTCCGAGCTTTGCGCAAACAATCTTGAACGTGGAAGTGTCTCGATTGATCACTAGCACATGTTGTTTCTTAAGCTTTTGTTTGGGATCGGCCCTAGCAAAATTAAAGTCTTACATGCACTCAAAATACACATAATAATGCTTCAAAATGACTGACATTTACATTGTCTGTACATTTTAATATATTTATCCGAATATTCAAAGTCAAAATAAGACGACAGCGCATCTTATTCAGACTTTATAGGCCGGTGTATTTCATCTACCATCAAGTGTCCCTTTCTATCACAAAAAATACACACATCAATGAGTTACATATATTCGTCTCTTTAAAAGGGTTTAAATATATGAACATCAATTTAATTGCTTTTAAAATAAATGCGAAATTAAAGCAGTCCGCTCCAAAGCTGACCGCAAACTTGAATTAAAATTATCTGAAGAGAGAAAACATCGCAATCGGCGTTCGTTTGAATAATTCATCGTTACGTAAATAATTAGCTTTGAGTATCTTCCAAGGTAAACAATTTAAGTTCGTCGTCTAGTTGCCGAAGTCGTGTCAATATTTGCGAATCGGCAAACGGCCCCGACTTACGATTCGTATAAATTGGTATTTTTTCGTTTCAGCCGCGAGATTGAATGTGGAGAGACTTGTTTTTCTAGCGACTGATTCCGAAAGAGATTCTATTTGGTTTAAAAAGCGGAATTAGGCTGTAACAATATTAGAAACATCCCGTTTTTGTTTATTCGTTGTTTCGGGAGCTGTGTAGGTGTAGGTCGGGAGTTGAATTCGTGCATCGTCTCTCCTACACATAATTAATGATCATTAGCTGAGTCACGCGACTTCGTACTTTGGATATCAAAATTTGTATTTGCAAACCCCTGGTCAACTCTATAAATTTGAGCTGTTACGACGTCCACGACGTCGTCCGTGTCCCGTTGTTCTTGCAAGTTCACGCACTTTTTTTTAGATTTAAAGAGAAATCATTCTTTCATACTTATTTTTTGGATATCCTGAACCGATTTCGCAGCGTACGCATCTAAAACCCACAGAGATGAACACATTTCCCGCTGTATCTTCGCTTCTATTAGTCACAGCGCGATGTTATATAGCCTATAGCCTTCCTCGACAAATGCTGTAACCAACACAAAAATATTTTTTCAATCACATCCTGTGATTGGCGCGTTCAAACAACAAATAATCAAAGAAACACTTCAGCTTTATATATTAGTATAGATATAGATTTTCTTTGAGAAGCCAGCAGAATATCGTTAGTAGAAAAGGATATGGACAAATGATAAAATGTTTAGAGCTGCGTTCTATAAGATATGAAAATCTGCCTACGAGGTGTAATGGAGAGTGGGGCGAGAATATAAATCTGTATTTTCTGCTTCAATTTCTTAATCACAAATTGTTAAATATAAAAATATATATTCAAGAATCCATATTTATTTTGAACTTTTACTTCCAACAAACTCTGGCACTGCATGTGTAAACCCTGCAACACATCCTCCTAAGCACGCATTCCTCGCTTGTTTTGTATGCGCGAAAATCTAACTCAGCTGAGCTGTTTAAGGTAAATGAAGCGATTCTGTAGGTTCCTTACAAACACATCCTTCGCGAGGCATCTTCGAACATCTCTGGTGGAAATGTGGCCTGACAAAACTAAATGTTTCATCTATTTTTGCTATACTAGCTATTTATTGTAATACCAGTTATTTTTTAAATATAACACTGTCACGGTTTAAAACGCGATATATTTAATTAAACTTCTTTGAAAAGTTTTTAACTACGGCCCGACGTTTCAAATCAAATCATTTTATCCACACACACAACATAAAATAATGACATTAATGACCTGAATGAAATGAAAGAAAGGAGGGACACCACTCCGATTTTCAGTTGTATGCCCCACGCTTGACATTTGAAGTAGAATATAATTATATTAATTACAATAAAAAAAAACTATTTACAAAACATAAAATAGAAGATGAGAATAAAAAACATTAAAAACGAACACCACAAAATGCTTTAATATATATAGTTTTACGTATACGTATGCTTTGCAGCAGTCGTGGTCACGGGGAGACTTAAAAATAGTTTTCTTAAACAAGTTTAACTAAACTATAATGCGTTTTAAACCGTTAAAGTGTTTTATTAAAATGTGTTATTGTAAGTTATAATTACACTTTGGCTGTTGCTACCAAGTATGGTATAGTTACACATATGCCCTTAAAATAAAAGACAAACCAACCTTTTGTAAAAAATTTTATTCTCTTATTGAATATAAAATTACCATTCAGCTAGTTAGGGCCGCATTGAATCGTTATTAACTACAACAAATATGTTTCGACATGATTGAAGACATTTAAACTCTATCATAGAATCAACAGAAATGAAAACAATGAGGCGAGTTTTTACAAAATGGCGCTGCCTAATTTAGTTAAATATTTACAATTTAACGAATACAACAAAAGCGCACTAACATCTTGAATATTTTACATTTGTTAATTTACACTTAACCAATATTTACAGACACACAACCCATTTATTTTATTTATGAAAACGAAACGAAGCTTTTAAACTACTATAACCAATTTAAGCTAGGTTGGAAGAATAACTTTAGTATTTACAGAAGTGTACAGTTTTTACAATAGATTTTTACACAGCGACTTTGGATAAAACAAAATTATACTTAGTACGATTATACAATAAATAAAGAGTTAACTTTCAGATTTAAATAAAACACTTTAATGGTTTAAAACGCGATATATTAGTTAAACTTATTTGAAAATGATTTTTTTATAAGTTTAACTAATATATCGCGTTTTAAACCGTTAAAGTTTTTATTTAAATGTTACTACTCCGTAAACTATAGACAGTATTTAACTTTCAGATTGTTAATGAAAAAATGTTTTGAGCAAATATATAATACTAACTCTCGCGACTTCGTCCGTATGGAATAGTCATTTTTATACGATGTCAGTCGCGTCCCTTTCCGTCGTTCTTGCGGGTTAATCTTAAAAGATAGACATATAGCGTAGGACTTTTTTTAGATCATCTAAAGAGAAATCATTTTTCATACATATTTTTGGGTCTTCTTGCACCGTTTTTGCAGCGTACGCCTCGGACGCATAGATGAAATCCCATTTGTCACATTTCCCGCCGTATCTTCGCTCCTAGTAGTCACACAGCGATGTTTTATATATATATATACTCGATAAATGCTCTAATCAACACAAAAAAAAATCAATTTGAACTCGTAGTTCCTGAGATTAGCGCGTTCAAACAAACAAACAAGCAAACTAACAAACTCTTTAGCTTTATAGATTAAGTAAAGATTAAATTTATACTAAGCGAAATATTTACAAACACCTTCTGTACTAAATCCTGCTTATATGTATCATAATTCTAAATTGCTCTATAGGAAAATTTGTATTGTCTAGATGTTATATAACTTTGGCCGATATTCAAATGTAAGAAATAAAAACAGATATCTTTGAAAGTACATACATTATCTAACCAGTGGTAACTTGGAAAGCCGTAGTCAATGTTTTAAAACAATTTTATCTTCGTACACTAAGATCTTTATTAAAAATATTAGGAATGAAAACCTTCTTATAAAATTACGCTCGAGTTACACACAGCTTTCAGGTCCTGGCAAGTTCTCTGCCAAGACATGTTCTCTTCTCCTCACGTTACTCTTTCCTTTTCTGTGTAAAGTAGACGTTGCAAGACTTCCTGAACTAAGAGTGGGTCCGCTTAGCGTCAAAGTTTGACTCCCGAAGGGGGACCCTACATTACCATTTGGACACACAAAGTTTGGACTACCCAAAGTGGGACTTAAGCTAGGTCGAAAGTTATTCGCCAACAGTGGTTGAGTTAGATTTTGGTTGACTAAGTCTTCTTGTCGATGTGGTGTTATGTCGCTCTCTGGTGATAGCTGCAAATGTAATAAAAATTTGATTGAAGACCGCAGCAGCTTGATTTTAATACATAGTCAATTAATCAAAATATTAAACGAAAATTCTTTTTAAAATGTTTGAAATATTACATTTATTTGTTGTGGCTGTCCAGTTGTATCTAGAAGTGCCAAGTCTTCGGCGGAAAAAACTGCTCCACCTTTTGTCCAGTCGCCTATAAATAGAATGAAAAAGGCGTAATTATTTCAACAAAACATTTTTTAAATGTGAAAACGTAATGATGAGTTCTTATTTACAATTTATTTTCACCCGTGATCACAAGACCATTGAAGATGGTTTAATACCAGGGATTAATAATGCCAAAGTAAAAACTTCTACGCTAGCGCCATCTATTTGTCGTAGCGCGCGTAAAATACAGACAGTACTTAAGACGTAAATAATTAAAGTTCCTTCATTTTAGTATTATTAAAGGATAGTGCTATGTGTATACTAATAACATACACTTTCTCATTTACAAACAAATAGGGCAATTTCAAAGACTAGGACTATGGATTATTTTATTTATAATGTACTTATTTATATGATATGAAATTTCAAGATATTAAGAATAATACGAATCAACCACAAGTATTTTAAATACCTTTAACTTCCCGCACGGTAGACCATTCATCAGCGTCTGTTGTGGCAGACAACACATTTTGACTATCACCATCTGTGCGTATTATAAAACAACTGTCGTAATACGGTATACATTAAAATTTTTGTAATTTTAACCAATCTATAAACCGATGCTTTATTATTCGTATAATTAACTTCTGTATAATATGTTTTGACTTATATAGAAATTGTAATATGACACATTTTTAATAACAAAGGTGTATATTACGTGGATTACATTATTAGTAGTTATATTTTATTGATGAGTAAAAACTTACACATTCAATTTAGATTATAGGTATATAGATATACCATTCTTTCGAATGCTAGATCCTTTTATTATGAAATAAATTCGGGTCTCATTGTAGTTTTTCAACAATTTAATTTTACTTTCGCAAATAAAGAACCGGTTTTAACGGACGAAAGCCCTCAGATTTTTGTTTAATAAATTCACAAACGAAATTTTATTAGTATCTCTAATGGACTGTTGGGCGAACGTTGCGGTGGAAATATTTTTTTACTTTTCTAGGGGTGCTGTAAAAACAAAATTCCAACTTTGCCGCACCGCAAGGCTCGTACAAATTCCAGATAAAATAAGGATACCTGCGATTCATAATTTTAAGTGGATTTTAAAAATTCAAGTCCGTCGCTGTTCTTCAATTAATTATTATCTAGGATTCAGGAGTAGGTAATTCAACTCTTGAAATTAACAAGCGTTCGTAATTAATTGTTTCGCTTTGTAAAAAATAAGAAATTAGTAAAAGATTGAAAATTCATAATCACAAGAAGAGCTTGTAGCAGACACACTCTTATTTATGACAATGTCAAACTTGGAGTAGAAGTTTGTTTTTCTTAATATCATAAATTTAATGTCTTAATTTAATAATACAGTCACAAAAAGCGGTTTAAAAATATTTAAACAAAGTGTCCGTTATTATATTGAAGATCTTAATTAATTTTGTCTCAAATAATTTGACGAAATTGTTTACAACTGTAACTTGGTTTTGTTTGATTACCGTACCTGGGGCATTCAAAATGTCCGGTTGTGGTTCTGGTGTTCTCGAGTCCGGGGAAGGTTTAATAGTATAAGCGACGACATAACGTCTCCCGCCATCGCTCAGCTCCAACATGTCTCCGGGGGGGTGTTTGTGGGGGGGATGTGACCTTTTCCTTCGGGCGCACAGTGCGGCGAGCGCTATCCCTCCGGCTGCGAGGGTAGCGCCTGAGGCAGCTGCCACTAATATCCCTAAAGTGGCACCTCCCATGCTGCTCTTTCCATCTGTTCATAATGTAATAATGAATTTTAATGTTCCTAAGATTCCAACTTTAAGTGTATTAAACTTTTTTTGGCCAGAATTGTTATTAGACAAACATGACTTTTTTATTTCTTTCGTTATATGAATTATTGTAAAAATATTAAATTAGGTAAGGTAAATTATTCGAATTCAAAACTTTTATTGCTAAATTGCGTGCATTATAAAAAAAAACATATATATAAGTAATAAACATATAAGAGGTGGCAATCGGTACCAGTCTCAGCTGTGCTGCTGAATGCTTGTCACACTCAGCAGCGCTGGTTTTCAGACCGGCCCGGGTATAGAAGAAAATGAGTGAAGTAAAGTAATATAATTAAGTCCAAGATCGATATACCCTAATAAACATATACATCATGAGGTAATAATAATCATTAACTGTTGCCCAACTGCTATCCAAGGAGGTTCAGTATAACATGCCGCTTGAAAGCCGTATACGCCATATCCTAGAACCAGAGGCGGAGGCAGGTCGTTCCAAATTTTTGATGCGGCATATTTGAATCCTCCTTGGAAATTAGAAGTCCTGTGTTTGGAAATAACTAAAATTCTTTGCGTTCAGCTTCTTGTATGAAGGGTGTGTGAAGTCTCTGTCCATTCTAATTTATTGTAGAGGTAGGGGGTTTTCTTTGGACACCAGGTTAAAACATAAGCCCCGCTAGATGCATCTCCCGCCTTTCCTTCATTTTTAAAAGTTTGTATTTGTTAAGATAGGGGGTGATATGGGCTCGCCTAGGTATCCCAAAGCAAAACCGGGCACATGCATTTTGCACTCTCTGTATCGCCCGTTTCGCCTTAGCGAACAATCGAGGCCCCTATACGGTGTCGCAAAAATTAAAAGTTGAGAGATAAGGGACTCCGCTAATGTCTGCTGCCGCTAAAGCCTGACTTCCTCCGTTAAACACTCTCTTATTTTGTATAACGCCTTAAAATTATAGAAAGCTTACTTATACAAGTCGAAATTAATTGAAATAAAACACTTTAACGGTATAAAACGCGATATATTAGTTAAACTTATTTAAAAAATATTTTTAACTTCGGCCCGACGTCTCGGATGATTTACAACAGCCGTGGTCACGGGTCGCGTTACAAACCTTTAAAGTGCTTTATTTAAATGTGTACTACTAATAAAATGAAAAAAGTTTTTGACTCGGGCAGGACTTGGCACCGGCGGCCGACGAACCGGCATCGTCAGCGTTACGTGCTGTTGCTCTACCAATTGAGCTATCGAGTCCTACACCTCATCGTCGAATTTTTTCAACTTATTGATACATGCACCTCTCGCGTATCTAATTTCAATCATTTCTTGCGTATTAGCGATACATTGCGTATAACGATTATTAAATTACATAGTGCCTTCATATGCATGTAAAAAATAATAAAGTTTTCAAACAATTTAACATTTTAAAAATTGTGAATTTAAACGCAGTACCGCATTCGATGACATCAAATGAAACTTAAATAACGCAACAAAATACATGGAAATAAAAAGATAAATTTCATATAACCAGGTCGTATTCATTATATTTTTGTGACTTCCTGAAAAAAGTTTGTAAAGAGAATGGAATTTTATTCCGGTTATCCAGGTTAATAAAAAGTAACCGTTGTTCAAGAGTTGAATATAACGGACAGGGTTTTTGCTAGCTTTGAACTAGGCCTGGCAAAAAAATCGCTTTTACAAAAATCTAGCGTAGAAAAATTGAAATTTGGTTAACGTTATTATAAAGATTTTGACATTACAATTTCACTACACTCGGCTTTCTACTTTTTACATTTAGCTCTATAGATCTTTATTTTCGAATCGATGATCGTAATTATCTCCCGAGATTTGAACTAACCTTTAGTGTCACACTGCAAAACAATACATCCACTACTGAAAAAGTGGGGAAAAAAAAATTCCAGACCAATTTATTAATTTAATTTTCTGAAACATGTTGTTTCGTTTGGAAATCTGGATATTGAACGGGTGGTTGGATTATAAAAATTCTGAGATCGTTGCAATCCACCGACTACAAATGAAAAAGCTGTGAAGTTTCGCGTTACAGTCTGTGGATTTCCGAATATGCAGTGCCAGAATAGCTACTTGTATAGCTGGGTTAATTCACCTTACATCAAGCCTATGCCTGCCTGTCTTCATCTATGGTAAAAAAAAAACACTTTTCGTAGTGTCCCAGGTCATTGACACTAAAAAATCATTTATTGCTTTTCCAATATTACAAATGACCGATTCTGTAGCTAAATGGTTGCCTAGGATTGCGTTAGGCGTAAGACGTCCGGGGTTCAAACTCCAAGGAAACAATAAACTGTTTCGGTCGGACAGGGCACAAAAGTCTGATAAATAAAACCCGATCAGTGAAATGGACACAAAAATATGTTTGCCCCATGCCCCACGAGGGGAAACGGGTTTTCACTTTTTTATAAAAACATGACTCAGTTACGACTGATATTTTGTAGAAAATGTTATGATATCTATACTAATATATAAAGCTGAAGAGTTTGTTTGTTTAAACGCGCTAATCTTAGGAACTACGGGTACGAATTGAAAAAAATATTTTTGTGTTGATTAGAGAATTTATCGAGGAAGGCTGTAGGCTATAAAACATCCTGCGAGTAATAGGAGCGAAGATTCAGCGAGAAATGTGACAAAAATTGGGAAAATTATTCATTATTATGGGTTTCCGAGGCGTACGCTGCACAAACAGTTAATGATACCCAAAAAATATATATATTATGTGAGAATGATACCTCTTTAAATGATCTAAAAATGCCCGAATGCTATGTGTCTATCTTTTAAGATTAACTTGCAGGAACTACAGGACGCGATCGATGATCGATGTTGTAAGCAACTTAAATTTATAAAGATGTAGAGGTTTGCAAACAAATTGGATGCCCAAAATAAATATTCTACGCGGACGAAGTCGCTGATACACATAGTATAGTTATAAGGCTTTAAAAGTACAATACCAAGCCCGTTAACACTAATATTTTTAGTTCCAAGTTAATCCATTAAGCGCTGTCACAATGTTTTAAACAACGTGTTAGCCTATTCACAAGGGCTAATGAATAACTGCCAATTAATTTCAATACAGCTGCCGCATTCAAACGTTTTGGATTTAAAAACAACGCTTTATTTCGTTCAACATTAGTTTGAGATAAGCTTGTACGTATTATTTTTGCGTCGGATTTATTTTATGAATGTGCGTTCGCTCGCATATTCTATAAAAATATAATTAAAATTAAGAATAATGAGTTAATGATGAAACAGATGTATAGTCAAATTGCGGTTTGGTTTGCGTGTATGGATTTACGAATATCCAAAGCCAAAATAACCCTCTCGACTATATAAATTAAAATTCGAAATTAAATTGAAACACTTTAAGACTACGGGCAGGACTTCTAACCGACATCGTCAGTCGTCCCGTAATGTTAAGCTCTAACCAATTGAGCTATTAAGTTTATGCGAGTAGTAGACATTTAAATATAACACTTTAACGGTTTAAAACGTCGATATAGTTAGCATTGTAAACTTATTTGGAAATGATTTTTTAACTTCGGCCCGACGTATTCGGAATGCCTTTATTATATCAGCATACGTAGTCACGGGGACACTTCATACATAGACTACCATACACATGATGCAAAAATTTCAAAATTATCATCATAACATGTTACAATTTTTCAAAGTCTCTCGAGATTAGTTGGCTTATAATTATTTTTTTTTGTTTGTCATCTATTATTTATATAAAATTTGTCTAATTCTGCCTGTATTTTTGGAATCAACAAATTTTGTTTTTTCTTATTGTATATAACATTTAACTATTTATAAAACTGTTAATGACTGCATGACTTTAACCGTAATTTCAGCGTTCGTGCTGTTGCTCTAACCAATTGAGCTACCGTTTTGTAATGTATCTGTTTGTTTCCTTTTGCTATATAGTAGACTCTAAGCACTATAGCGAAGTGTTGATAAATGTATTTCAAACTATCATCAAAAAAGTCTTACTTGTCTTACCGTTTCTGTCATTAAAAGCAAATTGTGAAAAAAATATGTTGTGAACTTTTTAATGCCAGAGTGGTTTAATTTTGGGTTTTGGCAGCTTTACTACTATTTCGTTATGATACATCCAAACACAGATACACGAGATTTGCAGATTAGAAAGCTATTAATTAAGAAGAAGAAGAAAATAAGGCATACTAAAATAGATAGATAAATAATATGATTACTTACTACTTATATGAATATAATAACACGTAAACTATCTATTATATTATTTAAACAATACCTGTTCTTCGTGCTGCGTCATTAAAAGCAATGTTTTCGAGTAAAGTTTTCTCCGATTCGCCTTTCAGATTTCTCGCGTAAATTAGCAGGTTGAAGGTGGCGCCATCTATATCGTTTGGTGACAACTGCGACAGGTCTAATTTGAATGTAACTAGTCCATCTGCGAAAAAGTATTTAACTTATAGTAAATAATATTTATCAAGAGACGATCCTACTGTATCTAAATGCTGAAACTTGTTGGCCTAGTATTGCCTTAATGCGAGAGGCTTCGAATCCAGGGAAGTAACAGATTGTTCCAGTCAACTACTTGCCTGTAAGTAAAAACCCATCAGTGGACACAGACAATTGTGCGCCCCATGCTTCGCAGGAGAAAATGGGTTTTCACTTTTTTTTTAATGATGCTCTGTAAAGTACTCTTTGTATACTTGCAGCCGCCGATGAGGACGCTGGCCTATGACAATTTTTTACCGGAGTTTGGATGTTAGTTCCATTAATTCACATCACATGACATAGTAGGAAGACAAACTGATATATTATAAATTATAAAACAATTAGTTCGACAGTTGGTATTAGATCATATATAGGGAAGATTTTGTAAATAAGGTTGTCCCGTGAACTTAAAATGAGCGAGATTACTTGGTTTTGATAAGCCAGGGACATATGAAGATAAAGCTGAGGAAGTTAAGACATAAAAGACATGTCATGTCCACCTAAATTGAAAATAAAAATTCAACCCATAAATGACTATTCATGCAAAAAGCACGATTATTTGCAGTGCGTGAAACAAGTGTGCCCTGACTGTGCTTAGAATATTGAAGGCGTAGTTGGATTGTGGACATTTTTTTCTGAAGGTTTATGTCTACCAAATTTTTTTCTAAGACTTATATCAATCATAAGTGTAAAATACTATTTGTTGTTATTCTGAGTGGCTTATTTTTATATTTTGTTTATTTATAACGAATAGTCGGATATTTCACCAAAGTTCACGCCAATATTTTGTAGTCTTATATTATAAAAAATAAAAAAGTTGATTTCCTTTCTATATTTATTTTTCTCGAAACCCTTAATTTTTCTTCATAATGGCCCCAAATAAATAATTTAACTCATCACTTTGTCTACAAAACTATATAATATGCGCCCTAGGCCTCACATCGGTACTTACGTTACAAAAAATGCACGTCGGTACTTAAAGGTTAACTTCTCGAAGCGTGAGTGGATATATATTTAGAAGCTTATTTAATTTGTTGTATAAATAAGCGGATTGCACACAGTAGTTACGACCAGCAAAAACTGTTTTAACTGCAATCTTGTCGACTATATCTTTCCTTCTCTTTTTAAAAATGTTTTAACAAAAATTAGAGTACGGTGTTTTTTAAGGATTGTATTTAAAACAAACAGCTTTCTTACGGACAGCAACCCACTAGCTTCTTACCTACGAAAACGCGCGATAAATGTATAGCAGTTTTTCTTGATATTTCATTAAAAATCTCATTTACCCGTGTCATTAACAGTAATGTTATATCTATTGTTACTGGTGACAGGATCTAGGGCTTCCAAAATAAAAGACTGCGGCAGTCCTCCATCGTAGCCGGCGACGCAGCGCACGTACAGAACTGTCAACCCCTCGGTCCCGTTGAGACTGGCTTGTAATGAACAGTTCCGGGGCGGGGCCGGTCGAGCTGCGATGAGAAAAATTGATTACCCTGAGATAATACAAATGGTCGTGTTTATCTAGGGAATACAATCGGGTTTAAACTGGTTCGATAATTTCCATTTGTCTTAAAATATTTTTATTATGGTGCACATTTTAATGTTAAAACTATTTTAAAAAAAATGGCGAAAAAATCTATATCTCCTAAAATTAAATAAAACACTATAACAGTTTAAAACGTGATATATATAAAAAAGGATTTTAACTACTACCCGACGTTTCGGGTCAACTGATATATATCGGGCTTTAAACCGTTAAATTGTATTAACGCGTAAAGTTTAACGTAAGTTATAAATTTACAGACAGTATTTCCAACAACTAAGTAAAAAGACAAAGGTCAAAAGACCTCTAAAATAGGTTGGAGTCAAATAATATTTTTATATAAATGTATAGGTCTTCGACTTTACACAATGGATCAGAATCGAACGATTCTGATAATAATCAACGGGTCGTGGGTTTGATCTCCAAAGGGTCAATTTATAACATTTTGAAAACATGTTTGACTTCGCCTGAAATTCTGTATATTGAATGGGTGGTAGGAATATCGAGATTAATACTAAATTACGAAATTTAATAACGAAATCATTAATAACATACAGGCATACCATTAAACCAAAGAGCCCATACTTTTTTCCATGTGTTATCTTACAGGTTTTTAACATAAATTGATTTTCGAACTATGTTTCACTTAGTGGAAATCTAACGCACGGCCCGTTGATTATTTCATATCAACCATCGTACCAACGGGGCCTCTAAGGCTTCTTTATGATCGAACTTTGCAGAGCTATAGGCAGACCTAGTTGTAATTATCATAAAGTAAATAGAGCGGTAAATCGTCCCGGTGGTAGGACGTTTATCCATAATTGCATTACTGGAGCAATATTTGCATGGCCTTGTGGGGTGTGACGTAATTTATCAGTTCAGAGAACATACAGTACAGTACAGTTCTTAATGAATTTGGAGGTTCATTAGTATTTATAAGTAAACAAGGAGACATTACTAAACATACTTTTTTATGATAGGGGAGAGCAGACAAGCATGTGCAAGCCTGATGATAGGTGTACCCATATAAACAATGTGCTATCGACCTATTTTAGCATTGGATAAAATATCATAATATAAAACTATGTCCATAGCGTTGAAATAGCAATTAAAAATAAAAATACTTTCAAATGAAATAATTTTATAGTTAAAACGTGGAATAAATAAGTTACTTTTTAATTAGGTAACTAACTAATTAGGTTTAATTAGGTGTAACGTCTTATAGTAAACAAACAACATTTAAATAAGTTACTACCTACGTATAAATATCGAATAAAAATTATAGATCTCAAAGTAATTCCTCTATTTAAATTTAACACAGACAGAGCGTGAACTGTGTTTTTGAAATAAGTTTCGTATATATACTTATGTAATAACGATTATTGAAAACAATACTCCAATAATTTTATTTGATGCCTAGACAACTGCGTACCTCATTAATTGAATTCATAGTAACGAACCCTCTTCACATTAAATGTGGAATATTATTCTAATATAAAAATTTAGAACCCTAATTACATTAGTCTAGCGAGAGATACGGTTTCAGCCAGCCAGCATTATTTTTTAATTAGCATTTTTCGTCAAATAATTTAATCTCACCAAAGAGCCTAACACCGCAGTATTAATTTCGCGTAGGTAACATGCGTTGAAATTAAAATTAAGTGCAGAGCTAAATTCACTAATTTCGACTTGACTTATGGCGAAGGGGTCGACAGTTTAACAGCGTTATATGTTATAATTCTGAGGAAATTAAACGTTTCCGTCGCGGTACTATGTTGCATATAACAGTGAGAGCTCTAACTAAACTGCTATAATATAGTACATACAGATATATAATATCACTAGCTGACCTCGCTGACGTTTTTTTGGCAAATGAAGTATTATTTTGACGAATATTTCTTCGCTCCTTTTTGTGGCAGCCTGACTAATTTACACAAATATATATTTCTTTAATTCGAATCAGTAGTTCTTGAGATTAGCGCGTTCAAACAAATAAACAAATTATTCAGATTTATAACATAAATATATATATATATATATATATATATAACAACCTACGAGTTACTTAATCTTAAATACTGTCTGTAGTTAACGGGAGTAGTACACATTTAAATAAAACACTTTAACGGTTTAAAACGCAATATATATTAGTTAAACGAAAATATATCGCTTTTCAAATAGTTAAAGTGTTTTACTTATTTTAACTTTCTAAAGAGTAACATTTGAATTAGGAAAATTACAATGAGTATCCACAACGATAACTATACCCGTAGTCTATACATTATATTTTGAAAAGAGCATAACTAATATTTCCTTGCAGCTGCGGCATAGATATATTTTCAATGGCATAGCCGAACCAAATTTATGTGCACTTTCATGCTCAATAAATGCTATCTATGACAGCGTTTGTCTTATGTTCACTATCCATTATATTGTTCGCAAAATGTTTGGTAAATGTACATCTGTGGTGTTCTTAAACGACTGACTTCAGAATAGTCGCTTTATTGGTTAATATAGCTTTAAATTGTGAAGTTTTGAAGTAAACATTTCAAGTACCAACGACCATTTTTTTCCTATACATCATGAAAGCGGGTGACAGAAAATAATGCTGTTTATATAATGGAAAGAGAAATAACACAGCCCTATAGCATCTGATTATGATGTACTGTCGATCTATTTTGGTTTTGAACATTCGGATATGCAGAGACTAAAAATGAAATATGGATTTACCTTTCACAGGGTTATATAAATTAGAAATCAATTATAAACTGCTCTGAGCAATAGCACGCAACGCTGTGGATGCCAGTTCAAGTATTCTATTCTATTGTAGTCCTACCCGTGTCGTAATTATTTTTCAATTTCTAATTTATTTTTAATTTATATACCATGTGAAAAATATTAAAGTTTGCTCTACAAAAACCCTTTGATTTATGTATTTTCGATGCTCCTACCACTTTAGACGGGGTGCAATATGTTTAACAAAATAATTATTTAGATCATTTTGGATATGCTGAGAATCGAACCTATATAAATTAAAGTACAAACGAACAGAGTTTTAAATCAGCAATATGAAATTAGAAACAAATGAAAGTTTTCCAAATCAATTCCTATCGGAAACAAGAACAAATTGAAACAGAAGCTCGTACGAAGACTTAAAGCGCTATAATTCGGGGACGTGCTGAGATTATATCTAATAATATAAATGGAAGCGGCGATAAGGGAGAACGAAGAAATTCGCATTGTCACTGAATTTAAGACGTATAATGAGACAGGCGCTGCTGCCATCTCGCGGGTGTAGTAGGAATGTGGCGAAAATATCTTCAGCGCTTATATTTGTCGCTTCCAGCCATATGGATCCGCAAATAGGAGATATGAGATTTCACACATTGGATGTGTAGGTTGGGCTTTAGCCGCGAAATGGTATTATAAATTGCGCCGGCTCTTCTACACAACGTTTGATGCATACGTGTGCAGCGATTTTTATCATGAGCCCTATTGGATTTTTATTTTGTTTCATCCGGGAGCGAGGTGCGTATTTGCGATTGTGTTTAAAAATTCGATGTTAGCTGATTGACTTTTTGATAACGGCCGTTCGGTGCGTTTTAGGAATTGGAAATATTTGACTACATATGATAAATATTGTATATTGGCTAATTGATTATAATTCTGAATGTTAATTAATATACGTCAAATTATTAAGGCGCTTTAAACCGTTAAAAATGGTTTATTAAAAATACTTATTTTTTAAGAATTTAAATTTCATAAGATTCTTTTACTTTTAACATCATGCATGCATCAGCATGCTGCGTTAACTTATATTTAAACAAAATCCTACGCTTCGGATTCTTTTTGTTTTATTAATATATTTCACGTTCCAAACCGTGGAATTATTAAGGGTCACTAAGGGTCTATTTTGTCTAAAAACAACATATTTTGAAACGACAAGACATTTGAATGCTTTGCAGTAGCCGTGATCACAGAGGAACAGAAGATAGAATGTGTTCTTAATGTCAAAGTCAAATCTGTTACGCTAGCGCCATCTGTTTCGTCTTAGTTAACCCCTAAGTAGTTAACAGTTATGGACTAGATTTAATATTATTTGCATGTTATATTAAACACTATTTGTTATTATTGTATTTCTATAATCTATACTGATTAGTAAAAGTAGGTTTTTCTTCGTGTACGTTCTATAGACTCACCTGCTGGTACAATCTGAAAGATACATGGTTCAAGTTGTCTGCCAACAGTGTTGGTACCACGACAGCTAAGGGCACCGTATTCCCGTTCACTTTGCGGTTTATAAATCAGTTCACTCGTACTACCATTAGCCGTACCTGTGGACAAAAAAAACCTCCATAATACCAATCACTTAAGTACTGTTTTTTACGCTAGTAGTACTCATTTAAATAAAACACTCTTAACTGTTTAAAACGCGAAATTTATTAGGCCTGCAAAGCATCCGAAACGTCAGGCCGTAGTTAAATTGTTAATAAGCTAAAGCTAACAGTTCGTGTTGAAACCCTTAAAAGTGTTTTATTAAAATATTAATAACATATGTTGCTTTTAATAAAACATAACGAATGTTGTACTACGAAAAATTGTGTACAAACAAATAGATTTTCAAATTATATTTTTGTATCAATTAATAATTACGTAATTTTTAAAGAATTCTTTATATTGTTGAGTAACTATAATTGTCAATGTTGTGAAATACGTATAGGGGAACACATTTTGTCTTCTTTTTAATTTTAAACTAAAGTATACCGTTAAAATTGAGTTACGTAAAAACTTTGGCATTAGCTGTCGTTGCTGGTGTATTTCGACGGGCCACCGCATGTAAGCTTGCATGAATTGGCAACATACAGTCCCTGGTACTCACGTCGATATGCGGTTTGTTACTCAGAAGCGGTGACTATCTGTATCCGATATAAGACGAGTTTATTACAAATAGTCGTGGTTTAAACCAGCTTTTGTCATTTAAAATTTTACGATTTTTGAAGGTTACATTTAAAAAAAGTGACTTATAATTATAATAACTTAGAAGGAGTTGAGTCAATAAAAAAAATATTATTTTATCGTTCTATGCATTTCTTTGAGTATCAAACAAACAATTATATTTAATCGGGTGTGTTTTCGGTACTTTGTTAAAATGCTCAAATTAATAAACACAATTTAATTCATTTCACTTAAAATTGACAAGGCGCGTATAAACAAACAAATCACCATTTGTATTCAAGTAATTTTAGTTTAGTTATTACTGTGCATTTAATGAACTTATCAAAGATAAAAAAAAACGTTTCAGTCGGCTTATATTACACGCACAGGGTTTACTTGAAGATAGTAAATGCGTATTTTGGCTTTGAAAATTCCGGAATCCACGGACTAAAACCGCAACACGATTAAACTTGATGGCTTTTTTATATGTGGATGGTCGTTCGTGATCCAGATTCCATTTTCGATATTTACATACAGAGACAGAATTTCGATATTCCTACTACCAATTTAACATTCAGATTTCCACACGAAGTCCAACATCATCATCATCATCAATGGATGTACAGACCCCTGATGTGTTTCCCGTGCTTCAAGAAGTCTAACATGTTTCAGAAATATTATATGTTGATAAGAAACATGTCGGATCTAGTGTACCAACGAGTCCGTCCAAACAAGAACATCTTGAGATTTGGGTAATATGAAACGAGAAGAATCAAAGCGACATATGAATTGAAAACACAACGTTGCTTACGCGATAAAGTAATTTTAGGGGTAAACATTTGTGCCCCTCTAACGCGTAAAACACAAACACTAAGCTAATAACACATTGTTTGATATCAACCTTATCCAATACACCTGTGCACCAAATTTGATCTACAGCGGGATCTTTCCATTAGGGACTACAGCTGTACAATAGAGGCGAGTTATTAATTTGAAATCTTTTCTCCTGATTTAAGTTCTGAGCACGCGTGACGTGTTCCGCCTTTCAACTTTCAAGTATCTTCGGCACAATTAGATTTTCTCTGCTCGAGATTCTTGATTTTGTTCTTGTTTGCTGTTTTACTGCACCGTGTACTCGTATTATGTTTTGTTCTATTGTGCTTTCGACTCGTGTAATTGAGTTTCATCCATTACCCGTGATTATAGTCATTAAAAATCCTTATGTATTAAGAAACGAGGTTGCTTAGAGTATATATTGTTGATACTATAATTACATAACACTAAAATGGTTTTGATAGAAATGAATAAAATTAAAACTTTAATGTTTTTCACGTCTTGCATATTATGGCATAAAAAAATGATTTTAGATTTACAAAATGTACGACACGGGGGCGGGACTTGAACTTTGACTTGAAGCGCTCCGTGTGGTTTGGTTTAACCAAATTAAGCTACAACATTTTACAATTTAAAGATTTGTAATCGATGTCTTATACTTTGCAACTTAAGAAAATCATTAAAGATGAAATTACAGAGATTAACGTTTGAAAACTTTGATATTTTTGATATAATGGCATTATATACAGTAGAATTCATTGTTTGAGTTGAGAGTAATAGTATATATGTATAGTTAATACATTTAATGCAACTTAACACACAAAATAAGTAGACACCTAAGTAGTAAGCATTTTAAATTATACAACACAATATCTATATTAAATAAACATCCCTAACTTACCATACTTAGATGGCGAAACATCGAGACTTTCCCCACTGTTGTTGAATTGCCAAAAAAACGTGACGTCCGGAGGGTTCGCAGTTACAGAGCAGCGCACGCGCAGTGTTTCATCCAATTGTGCGCCAAGAACTTGGGGTGATGCGTGGATACAGACTGGAGCATCTAAAATGGTACTTTCAATTATTTTCCGTAGAATTATAAAATTTATTATTAGTATGATAACAATAATTTTGTATTGTAGATTCTAACATACAAATTAAATAAAATTTAATAAAATACTGTCTGTAGTTACGGTTTAAAACGTGATATATATTAGTTAAATTATTTGAAAATTATTTTAACTACGACCCGTCGTTTCGAATGCTTTGCAGCAGCACTAAAAGAGTTTTCAAATAAGTTTTACTCATATATATTGCGTTTCAAACTGTTAAAGTGTTTTATTTAAATAAAATTTAATAGTTGTGCGTTTAGATTTAACCCAGTAACTAGGGTATATTAGGTACATAAAAATATCGCTTTGCAGTTATATTTATGCCAGTTTTAATACGCATGATGAATTAAAACGTTGGCTTAAAATGTACAGAGATTTTTTGACCCAAATGCTTGAATAAAAATATATCTTATACAGTGCTTATACAATTTAAAAATCTAATTTTTAAATATGCAAATAATTAAATACTGTCTATAGTTTACGCGAGTAGTACACATTTAAATAATCCTCTGTCGTGCCGTGGTCACGGGGAGACAGAGTCTCCCCATAATCACGGATGCAAATCAGCCGAAACGTTGGGCCGAAGTTAAATATAATTTTTAACATTTTAACTAATATATCGCGTTTAAATAAAACACTTTCACGGTTTAAAACGCGATATATTAGTTAAACTTATTTGAAAATGATTTTTAACTTCGGCCCGACGTTTCGGATGCTTTGCAGCAGCCGTGGTCACGGGGAGACTAAAGATGGAGGATGTCTCTGACGTCAAAGTAAAAAATTGCTACGCTAGCATATAAAGCATAGCATTTTCAAATAAGTTTAACTAATATATCGCGTTTTAAACCGTTAAAGTGTTTTATTTAAATGTGTACTACTCGCGTAAACTATAGACAGTATTTAATTTATTGCGTTTTAAACCGTTAAAGTGTTTTATTTAAATATGCAAATAATATTTTTTTAAGGTAAAGGCGGACAAACAAGCATAGCGTTCACTTAATGTGTAATACCTCAGCCATATTACATTTAAACTGAATGTTCTGGCGACCTATTTTGGTTTTCCAAATTCGAAAATCCACAGACTGAAACCGAATTACGATTAAACTTGACGGCTTTTTCATCTGTAGACGTTGCTTCGTCACCCAGGCGGAATTCCGATGTTTTTCGTGGCCATTTAATATCCAGATTTCCAGACGAAGTCTGTTGGACTTCAGCAAGAATAAACATGGATAAAAAACATGTTGGAGTTGGTGGGGATCGGACCCACAACCCATTGATATTAGCCATACCTTTGCACCAACGAGCCCGTCAGTTATTAATTATATTAATCTTAATCTACTTTGTTAATTACAGAACTCTCAACTTCGATAATCACAAAATGTATTCCACACATATTTCTATTAGAGAGGGAATGTTATAATTAACACGGAGTTAAAGATAGCTCGAACCGAGCTCGCTACAGAAGTTAGACAATATATAAATTTTATTGTCCAAGTGTTCCCCTTCAGGCTAGCGAACGTTGACTGTGATTCATTTCAATTTTAATAAAGTTTATCGTATGCCGTAGCGAGGTGAGGGTTCATAATTGTAAATCTAGTCGTATATTATATTTATGATGTCGACATAGTACCTACATGTACGATATATAAGTACGTATATTTGAGACTGGTTTTCGGTTGTTGTACTCAGGCAAATATTTAAATAACACACTTTTAACGGTTTCGAATGCGTAATATATTCGATAACTTATTTTTAATTTACTATAAGTCGAACGTATCGGATGCTTTATATACCATAGTTGCTTTTGTTTGCTGTAGTTACGAGGTAACTATAGAAGGAAATTGTCTCCAATTTCAAAGCATTTTAAACGAGTCTAAGTTAAAATAAGTTTACTATTGTTTGTGTTTTAAATCGTTAAAAATGTTTAAACTAAAGCTATTTTGATGGGCTTTCTAATGGTATGGCTAATTTTTAATGGAACGTGGGTTCGATTCTCACGTAATTAATTTATATTTTTTCCACCTACCGTCCACAGATGGAAAGATCGTGCAGTTTAAAGGTGCTTTGGATTTCCATTTCCGAATATCCAAAGCCAAAAGGGGTATTTCACCTCTTATGCATGTATTCTCTACCCAAAAAACATACAATAATTGTAAATAATGATAATGATATGTTATTAATTTGGTCATAACATGTTTCAATTAGGGAATATTAAAATGTTACGAACCTAATCATTTCATCCATCAAACACATTACAACTTTTATCATTATATCGAAGTTTCGTCCAATCAATAAATTGTTACTGTTTTGATTGATGTCCCGATAATGATTTACGATTCTCTCACCCCACTTGTTTGCCACAGAACTCCGTTGTATCGTTAACGAATTAATGATAACCTGAATGAATGAATCCCTATGGACGTCATTATACTTTGGAGATTTGTGATTGATATTACTTTTAATTTACTTATTTATTATTATATAACCTATTAATATACAAACTCCTCTGTTAATCTGTCTTTGAATTATATGGTTGTTGTGAAATAAATCACAATATGCGAGTGGTATACGTGAAATAAACCACATTTTAGTGGTTTAAAAAGATCAGTCAATTACCAGCACCAGCAAAGTTTCGGATGCTTCACAAGAGCAAGGGTTACGCAGGCAAACAAAATAAGTTATTGCACATTTAAATAAAATAATTTTAACAGTTTAAAACACGAATGATATAAATGAAAAATCGATTTAAAAATTGAAGAATCATTATGATTATGATCAAATTATTATGATACGGGCAGGACTTGAATCGGCCGTTGTGGTGATTGTTTTTACAATCGATTTTTAGTAAACATTTTCATGTTTTAAACCGTTAAAATTGTTTTATTTAAATGTCTTCGACTCGTGGTAGCTACAAATCATATTAGGTTCAAAAAATGTTCGTTCATATATATAATTTCTTTTACTTCTAGTGCCTATGTTTATAAAACGCCTCTCGAAATAAATATTGCTTCCTTCGATAAAGACTTCGTCCCTTTGACTGTAACAAATCTACCCGGTTCTTTGGGGAATGATTGATACCCAGCGATTAACGGGCCTTGCTCTCAATGAAATTAGAGTTTCTAGATAATAGAAAACAAAAGACGACCAATTGACATTTTAAAAGCAATACTTCAATTTGTTTTGTCTTATCCTTGCTTTGAAGTGGATTCTATCTGTTTGAACCTTGTTTTATCTGCATTATGACTAAGGTTTATTCGCGATACAATGGATACCTGTTTTGGGCCACAAACAGACCTATATAAGCTAACAAAAATTTTGCAGCTGTACTTTGTTAACGTTAAAATGTGCTGTATCAACAATCAAGTAAAAAAAATAAGCTTAAAAGTTTATTTGTTTGTATATTTAAACGCGCTTATCTCAGGAACTACTTGTGGGATTTAAAAAAAAAAATTGTGTAAGGTAGAGCTTTTATGGAGGAAGGCTGTTATAAAATGTGACCAATAGGAGCAGAGAAACAGCAATAAATTTGGAGAAGACGGGAAAGATTCATCGTTGTGTTGCGTACGTTGCGAAAACGATTCAAGATACCCAAAAAATATGTGTGAGAGAGTGGTTTCTCTCTGAAGATTTAAAAAAAAATGTCCGCGACACTATATGGCTATGCTTTTGAGTTGCGTTGACAGGAGGTTTGAGAAAACAATTTTTTTTGCCCAAAATAACTACTCTACGCGGACAAAGAGGACATTCATGCATTTCTCTTCAAGTGATAAAATCGCATCAGAAAGAACACAGCAATAAAAGTTTGCGAAGGCACATTCAAAACCGAATATTTTCGCCCAGGGAATAAACAAGGCTAATTTCAATAAAACAAAAAAGGAACGCGGCGGGAAAGTTGTACGAAAATCCTTTTTGGCGGTTTTAGTTAAAGGAACAAAAAACAGACGAGCACGGTTCTAGTAATGTGAAATTGCATTTTTATATTCCCGTGAATCTGTTTCGTTTTGACTGGCTCTCTGAACAAAACTTTGAATTATAAATGCGTAAACCAATCAACTGGATGAACACTAATATTTTTCACATGTTATTGCACATGATGGCGCTATATGAATTAAAAATCGACGATTACGTGCAGCACGCAACGCTGACGATGCCGGTTCAAATCCTGCCCGAGTCGTAAATTATCTCAATTTTTAATGAACTGGATATCAAACTATTTAACAGATGCTCATTGCAAATATTGCATTAATTTTAGCAATCATTAAAATTGATTATCCAAATTATCTTTTGGACTCTCAAAATGGGGAGGGCTTACCGCACCGTATTTCCCCCCCTGGCACTTGAAGCGGATGCCTAAACTGACATTTACTATCGTCACGTCGGGTCCAGTTGCGATCGAGGTAAGGAGCCTAGCTCCGAGCTCCGCAAGAGTTGTAGGAAGAACGCCCACAAGACGGTAGTTACGCTAATGTTGATTGTTACATTTAAATAAAACACTTTAACGGTATAAAACGTGATATATTCGTTAAACTTATTTGAAAATGATTTTTAACTTCGGCCCGACGTTTCGGATGCTTTTCAGCAGCAGCAGTTGAAAACATTTCAAGGTTACTAATATTCGCGTTTTTAACCGTTAAAGTGTTTTATTTAAAGGTGTACTCGCGTAAACTATAGACAGTATTTGATTGCTTCAGTTTCTATTTTTTTTGTGGTTATCATTTTCTCCGTGCACGCAACGGAAACGTAATCGCAGCGTTTTTTCTATAGTATTTAGTCTTTCTCGGTAATGTGCTTTTAGCAACGCAAAAATATTTTTTCAATTCGAACCAGTAGTTCCGGAGATTCGTGCGTTCAAACAAACCAACTCTTCAGCTTTATATTAGTATAGATTTATTATTTATGTATTATTGTATTACGGATTCTATATTTTAATAGCTTAAGTATATATACATTGTATAAAGAGGGCAATAAAACTTTCGAATTTGAAAAGTATAGACTTACATTGTATGCTCAGATGTGTCATTTGACTGGCTGTCTCGCCAAGGGAATTCGAAGCTCGACATGAATAGTCACCGGTGTGTTCGCGGGTCACCTTTTGCAGAACCAAGGATTTAGTGCTGACTATTACGCCTAACACCACGTTGTGTAGCACCGGTTTGTCCTGTAAAACAAAGTAAATTTTTATTGCAACTGTCTCACTAGAATCATAGAAGCATTGCTATTTAGATATAAATTTTCGGCTAGGAAATATTATATTAAAATATTTAAATTTGTAAAAATGTTAATTATTAATATTAATTAAGTAATAATGTTTCCAACGTTGATTCGTTTATATACTAATCATGGACTTTGGACACTTTTTTACATATAATACGTATAGCAGTTATTATATAGTCTTATATTGGTTAACGCAAGTAAATAAAAGTAGTATTAAATTAATATTGAAATGTTTTTGAAAGACCCTTAAGTTTAAATAAAACACTTTAACGGTTTAAAACGCGATATATTAGTTAAACTTATTTGAAAATGATTTTTAACTTCGGCCCGACGTTTCGGATGCTTTGCAGCAGCCGTGGTCACGGGGAGCCGTTAAAAACATTTTCAAATAAGTTTAACTAATATATCGCGTTTTAAACCGTTAAAGTGTTTTATTTAAATGTGTACTACTCGCGTAAACTATAGACAGTATTTGACCCTTAAGTTCTTGAGATGGTTCTCTCGCGAACTTGTCTCTTGTCCCGGCCAACTCCACCGGCCGCAATAACTCACCGAATACAATTACAAACGCAGTTGGCCATACGTACTACATCACATGCCAATTCCAATAGTTTGAATAACTGATGATTTATTGTGCCAGTTTAGTCTATGAAACTCAAATGTTTTGTTACGAAATCGCTTCAAAAGGTCAATTAAATGGTTCGATAAGCTTTACAGTGCTTAGTGAATTCGCTTCGATGAATTTATGATAACAATTAGTCGATTTGTTTATGTGTTGGTTGCGAACGGATATTAGTTATAATATTAGGAATATTGATTATTGATAAATTGTTTCATCTTTGCCTTAGCTGTGCCATCATAGTTATTTTGAGCGTCAAAATTTGTTGCAAACCTCTTCATATAGATTTAAGCTGTTACTTACGATGTTGGTCGAGTGCTGTCATTCTTGCCAGTTAATCTTTAAACTTTTGCGAACATTTTTTTACGTCATTTAAAGAGGAATCATTCTTGCATATGTATTTTTGGATATCTTGAAGGTGCGCATCGGAAACCCACAAACTAATAATTTTCATAATTTTTCCATATGTCCCGCTGCTTCTTCGCTCTTATTAGTCAGAGCGCGATGTTTCATATCCTATGAGCTTCCTCGATAAATTTTCAAACCAACACAAAACAATATCATTTCAAAATTTCAATTCAAAGTAGTTTCTGAGATTAGCGCATTCAAACTTTAATTTATATATTAGTATAGATAAGTCTTTCACTGCATTTAGAAAAACTATTTGGCATAGCAACTACATTTGTCGACTAAGCAATGACGACGGACGCGCAACATCTCATGATGACAGCTACTTTTGATGGCTAAACATCGTGTAACATTTCTCGATTACGACGAACAGCTTGTAAGCCCAAGTAAATTTGTTTTATTATTATTACAATTATAGCATGAAGGTTAATTCGTTGTTTAACTTATATATACAGTTAAACCGATGCCACGTGAGTTTGATTCTCGTGAATGCATTACTATTTTACCGTTTGCGAGAAAATATTATTATATTAATATAAAATCTTGACAATTAATTTATTAACAATTAATTAATTTATATTCACAACAAAATTAATATCAAGATTTATATTATCTTACCACTTTTATTTTTATTATCCTCTAATAAATTAAATACGACAAAGGAACTATTTAAAAAAAAACTGTCTGTAGTTTACGCGAGTAGTACACATTTAAATAAAACACTTTAACGGTTTAAAAGGCGATACATATTAGTTAAAGTTAAGCTCGGCAGGGTCACAGGGAGCTCTCTGTGCAGGCGAGTTTTTTATTTAAACTATTTTTTTCCCAATAGTCTAATAAAAAAGTTGTGACACTTTTGTCACAAGAGTTCAGTGAGAAAAAAAATAAGGCTCTATGATAAAGTAAAATGGGATTAAATTTACTTTGTATTTGTCAATACAATTATACGATCATGTTTGAAGTTATAAAGGATTCGTTTTTATTACATTGTGTTTTTCATTCCATCGATCATGAATGTAATCATCAAAATGTAACCGAGTTGTAATGAAACCATTTGTTTCATTTAGGTATATAAGCTTATCGCTCCCAAGAGTCTCATATTTCACCGTGTATATTCAAGATACTGAACTAAACACATAAAATTAATTCGTTATCAGTGTTTCATATATTTGACAAAATTTAAATTTGTAGGGAAATGGGATTTATTTTTACAACATGGACATTAATGGTGCTACGCCATTTTTTAATAAAATATTTTATTAAATTTGGATACGTTAAAAATTAACTATCACTTGTTAAAGGTTTATGTAGATTGTAGACAGTGTACATTTTTAAATACTTTCAATATTTATTATTTTCGTACAATTAAGGAATACAAATTTCTTTTAGGACAGGCAAGCATAGAGCTATCTACATGAAAGGTGAAATATCGTTTGATTATAATTTTCAACTGTAAACGTTGTTCGTGACGGACGGGATTCCGATATTCCTACCACCCATATCCAGATGGTTAATCTGGAGACATCAACAGTTTTGTCCCGGTGGAGTTTGAACCCACTACCTACCCGTTCATTATTAGCCCCATTAGACCAACAAGTCAAAACGTTTGATATAATAACCAACGACATAGGGTTAAGTCATAGAATATAATCAAAAGGTGAAAAAAATAACGAATTATCGTAGTTTTTTAAATAAAACACTTTAACGGTTTACACGTTTCGGATGCTTTGTGAGTCTCCCCGTGACCACGGCTGCTGCATAGCATCCGAAACGTCGGGCCGAAGTTAAAAATCATTTCCAAATAAGTTTAACTAATATATCGCGTTTTAAACCGTTAAAGTGTTTTATTTAAAAGTGTACTACTCGCGTAAACTATAGACAGTATCGTAGTTTCAACAAAATATAGCCATATTATTTTCATATTAAATAATCTTTTCTATATACACAACACCAAACTATGAAAACAATTTTCTCGCATAGGGCCAACCCTAATCAATCAACTACTACTTATAATAACTTACATTATGATACCAAGAGATGCGATGCTCCTTAGGGTTGGCACGAACTGAACATTCAAAGTAGACATCATCGCCTTCCTTTATTTCGTTGGGGTTCAGTGTACTGCCTAATGATAATGATACCACCGGGGGATCTGGAACAAAAAGATTAGTTAAAGTATATTTCTAGAAACCTATATATTTAATTGTTCTCTTAAAAAAACGTACGTTATAAATTGTCTGTTTATAAATTAAAATCGACAATGAATAAAAAAAAATATATAATATTTTTTTCAACGTAAAGATACATGATGCACCTCTCGAGCAATGTAATTTCAACCTTACATATTAAACGTAGCGTTTGATAATCGAATGCGTAACTTTATTGGAATAAAGTGAAATCCTGTTTCCCCGTGGGGAATGGGGCGACCACATTTTTGTGTCCGTTTCGTGTATTGATTTTATTTCCAGGATCTCAGACTTTTGTGCCCAACAATTTCTTGTTTCCCCGGGATTTGAATCTTGGACCTTAATGCAATCCTTGTTAATTATAAATACATATATTTACACTCAAAAGTAATCATTTGTAAACACTGTAACTGACGTTTATAACAAGGATGTAAACATTTAAAATTCTATATTCAAATTTGACACCCCCTCTCAAATGGAACCAAAGCAATCTAAAATAACAAAACAGTACGATTTCTTTGTTATGGGGAAAACCGCATAATTATAAGTTAATTCACTCTATTCCCCTTCAATATAAAAATCATATTTTTACAGGCTTATTCAATATCAGAGTTATTACCGTACGCTGATGAAATTTGACAGTTTCGGAAACTTTATAAGAACTTAGAGCTAATGGATCCATTAGGGAATAGAAAAAATCCTGCGATCAGTAATTAATTTACGAGTTGACGAAGACGTTAATAGATATATCAAACTACATATAAGTCACGTTATTAACGAAGATTCTGGTAAAACGATGTAGTACCTCCCCTTTCGAAGTTAGGCTTAGGGTCGAAATTCTATTACATGAAATTGCTCAAGACAAATTCTGTAGGGGTTTTCTTCAGATTATTTTCGACAAAGGACATTTTGTAATAATATTTCACAGAAGCCGAGTTACCACGGGTCCTTTGTGAGCAGGATTATTACTATACCATTGATCAAAGTTAATTATATAGTAATTTGGAGGAATATTGAATGTAAAGTGATATTAAATTAATTAAGCGGTTATTGACGTCCAATTACTTGATATTATATTTATTTAATTGTATTTATATTTTTGTGTTTATTGTACGCAATGTTACATAAGAGCACTTGTACCAAAACATATATATTAATAGTGATGTATGTTCTGGTCTGTTGATCTAAAATAAAAAAAAAATAACGTCTGAGCATGGCTACATTAAATTATAAAAATTAGTGACATTCCCGATACTCAAACCCACTAACAAAAGGATTTAGTTTTTTTTATGACAAGTACGCAGTTCACTTGATGGTAGCTAAAATACCCCAGCCATATAATATCTAAACGAGATGCGCTGTCAACCTTTTTGGGCTTTGGATATTCGGAAATTCGCAGACTAAAACCGATTTCAAATTCATGGCTTTTTTATCTGTGGAAGGTGGTTCGTGATCCGGACTGAATTTCGATATCCCTACCACTTATTAAGTAACCAGGTTTCCTGACAAACTCGAACCTGTTTCAGAAAAATTATAAATTGATTACAAAAATCATAAACACTCAAAACAAAATTTGATATTGGTCAACGAGTACTTGTAACCGAATAACCGGGTCAAGTTTTATAAGGGCTTACAAAAACGCCAACAATCATCTTGGAATTTAAGTTCTAGCAAAGTCACAAGTTCTTGTAACTAACAAAATATACTCAGTATTTATTTCAGTTGTTAGCGAAGCCGTATCCTCTAAAGATTGGCCCGAATATTATAAACTGCGGTATACTGAAGCCCGTAAACGTCAGACACACGGAACGAAGTGATATTAGCAACGCTGGTAATAGCAATCATTTAGCCGGTCGAGATTGCATCGAAACGTCGGTCTGTTCAGGTGAGCGGTTATCTTCGGGAAACGAGCGCTGACACTTTATTGGCCATTAAAGACCTATAACGACGTCGCCTGCGCCCCGCGCCGAGAGACGTCCTACAAATAAACATTTACGATTCCGCCGTTTAAATTGTTGCCAAAACGATTCGCGCCGGGAGCGAAATTCCCCACGCCCTAAATGCGTTACACTTCGCCGAGCAGAAGTGAATGGAATTTATTTATATTTGGAAATTCATTTCATCTGTCGTTACGTAATAGAGACGGCGTTTTCATTGTAATGAGTGGCCCGTTACGGAATTAACTCGTATTGTTCATCAACGTCTGAGAGCCGCGCGAGCGGGCGCGACGTTTGAATTATCGTAAACGGAATCACTTAGAATGATCATTGTTACATTAGAATAGTGTACGCACAAAATTGTATATATCTTAAATAGAGCAAAAGTTCGAGTACCTTATTTAACTACTAGCTATGTCAGCGACTTCGTCTGTATTTTGGCCATCAAAATTTGTTTTTGCAAACCTTCTTATCTTTATAAATTATAGCTGTTATCCACGACGTCGACGTCCGTCGTTCTTGCCAGTTAATGTTAAAAGATAGACAAATGCTGTCGCGGGTTTTTTTTAGACCGTTTAAAGAGAAATCGTTCTTTAATACACATTTTTCGATATCTTTTACAGTTTTCGATAAAAATGTCCCCGGTCTTTCCACATTTTCTATTGATTTGAAACATCAAGTAATTGCATTGGAAAGTAGGTTAGCTAAAATATTTTACGTTTTAACGGCAAAGATTGTTTTATTTAAACACTTAAAAATTTTAGGGAAAACTTATTATTATTAGCACGCGTCATAAGTTTATTTTACCCGCAACAAATTGCATATTTTAGTACAATTGTAGTTTTTGAAGTTAATAGTCTGCGTATATCTATTAATCATCTTTCAGAAATTTTATCCGTCTTTCTCTAACTGAAAAACAACATCTTTAAGCAAAAATGATATCAACAGGTTTTCGTCAACTCATTTTTAATCGTTCCTACTTTCTCTTCGCGCTAGATGAAGAAATAGACGACAACAATTTCTTTAATTCAACTATACTAGTAACGTAGTGTAACTTGATATTAGAGCTATAAATTCAAGTAATAGAATGCACAATAGAGTTCATTTCGAGCTAAAATAGGCGTGAAGTTGTAGCTAAAATTGCTACAATTTTCCATTCTAATACAGCGTTCTAAGCTTACATTTTCCTAGAAGTTCGAGTTCTGTAAAACACTGCATAATAGCACCGAATGTGTTTCGACTTCTAAGGCTGTTGTTTCACATCGCGCGTTACGTTACGTCTTTTAAATTAAACACTTTAACGGTTTAAAACGAGAAATGTATGAGTGAAGTTATTTACAATTTTATTTTATTTTTTTATTTATTTATACTTTTTACACAACACACGAACAATCACAATGAACTAAAAATAATAATATTATCTATAAAGTATGAAGTGTAAGGCGGCCTTATCTATAGGTCTCTTGGCCCTTCTTGAGGAAAATAATGTAAAACAACTTAATTAGGGGAACTGAGGAATGCGAAACTTAAAATCTAAATAATTTTACTTATTACAATAATAATAATATTATAAAGTTAAGTTTGAGAGTTGTAAAGTGTAAAATGTTTGTAAGAAGGTTTTAAAATAAGTAGGGATAAACGAAGGAAATGGAACAATTCATGGTATTTGATTAAAATTTGTAAGGAAGGAATTTGAAGGATTCAAATAAGTTATTAAGAGCGTAGACTATAGTAAGGAAATAAAATTTAAATTATTTTAAGGTAAGATGGGTTTTAGATTAAATAGAATGATATAAAAGTAAAATATAAATGATATTAGAAATTTAAAAAAATAAATTAATTCTAACAAATATAAAAATAAAATTTTAGGTATTTTTATAATTTATAAAATTATAATTAAGTAGTAAGAGGTTAACTACGCCCGACGTTTCGGATGATTTTCAGTACGTGGTCATATGGAGTTACAACGTCGGACCTTACTTAAAATAACTAATACATTAATTTATTTTAATGTGTACGACTCGCGTAAACTACAGACGGAAAGTGTTTCATTAGTTAAATGTTAATAATATCATAACTTACTAATTCCTTAGTATTTTGTGATACACAGCTATTATCCTAGGGTTCAAGAATACATAGAAAAACTATGCTTTCTTATTGAGAGAACAAGAATTTATATAATTTAAAAAGATTCAATAATGCAAAAAAAGAATACCCCATGGGTGATTAAATACCTATCTTTACTTACTGAAAGTTTTCCGTATAAGGTCAAAGAAAATTGTGTGTTATTAAAAATACTTTGTATTTGGGATAGAGCAAAGTTTAGTAATCTTACATATAATATGTTCAGTATATTAACTTATTTCTTGCGTTAATAAATATTTTAAACAAATTTAAAATCGACTGTATATTTAAATGTATAGTGCCATCATAAGCAAGATATTATAGTATTGTAAAAGATATTAAAGTTTTCAAACATCTTAAACATTTAAGAATCTTAAACTTATCACTACCCCATATACCCATAACCCATTCAAACAATAGACATTACAGAAATGCACTATTGTTTTAAAGTTGTGTCATCTTACACACAAGAGATAAAGTACCTAATGACTAGTGACTAAAAACAGCCATGAATATATAATATTAACAAAACATATTTACATAGACAAATTATATAGACGTAAAATGCTTAAAATTTATCATTTGAAACTAAATAAACAGGAGCCAATCAACATAACGTTACTAACACGCTTGTGTTGTTACACTGATTTTTAGTGACACTTGACGCCGTTTCTAGAGTAACAAATAACAAATGCGTTAAAAATTACAACTTATGCCATGAACAATTCCTATTCAACAACAAAAAAAACTTTTTTTTTTTACGTTTCGTGACGTAACGCGTTACTCTGTCCGCCGCCTAACTCATTTGTGGGAGACCAGACCCTAACAGCGAATGTATTTCGGCTTCTAAACGGATGCGAACTACACCACTCCGAATTAGTTTTCGGCCAGTTAAATGTTGACGTTGAGGACTCGCCAAAACTAACAAGGTTTTAATTACGCTTTACAAAGTTCCCCGCACTCAGAAGGCTTTAATAACAGCGAGCGTCTCTTTGAAAATGTTTACAATATGTGTTTGGGCGTGATGCGTGAACCGGTTCATTGTTTAATTACTTTTGGAGCCATTTGCTCGAAGGCCGTATTTTGTTATGTTAGTTTGAGCTGAGCTTATTTTGTTTGTAGACGCTGGGTACATACTTCAAATATATTACTGTGTAATTATTATTGCTTATTATTCCCAGATTAAATATTCGACGAGCCGTAATGTATTACGTGGGTTCATCCCCACCGGGTCTATGTTTCTAATCAATTTATAATATTTCCAAAACCTGTTGGAAATCTGGATTTTAAATGGCTGGTAGAAATTTCGAAATTCCGTTTGGTCGCGAACCATCGTCCACAGATGAAAAAGTCGTACAGATTAATCGCTTTTCAGTTTCACTCTGTGGACTTCCAAATATCTAAAGTTAAAATAGGTTTATATTGCGTTCTCTTAAGATGTTATATAGCTGGGGTAATTTATATGCCTTGGCCAGTCCTTTTCATATTATAAAAACTGTAGAAATCTAATATATGGATGTTATCTTTCCTTTACGATTAACATGCTTTTTGAAGGGGAAAAAATAAGAAAATTTGAAACATCAAGAATTAAAATTTTAACTAAGTAACCAATACAATACAACCCAAGTTTCAGTATAGAAATGCCCTCTACTTATATGTACTGTGTTATTATCACGATTATGTTCACAAAGTGTAAACAAAACAAAACCTTACTGACGAAACATGTTCAAAAATAGTCAACTACATACTACACAACTATTTTTAATGACAAATTCTAAATTTCAATTGAAAGGTATTTTTGGCATCGCACTCGCCGTGCATCCATAAAAAGCAAGTACATTAGAAAACTGAATGTCGTAAGAGAAACTTTGACTTGAAAACTTCTAATTGCACGAAGGAGCGGACTTCGGAAATCGAAAACGAGCTAATAGAGAGCATTAAAAGAGCAATCATTAATTTTGCGGTTCTCATCGAGTTCGGTGCGAGTATTTTAAAATGCGGTTATTTCTATCGTTCGAATCTTTGCTGGTATTAAAGATGTTTCTTTTATAGTGAAGGAGTAGTTTGGATTTATACATTTATGTTCACATTAATTACATTAAGCTTACGCTTTTGAAACAAATTGAAAATACCCTTAACGGTTTAATGTCGCTATTTTTTTTGTTAAAGGAGCACGGACCAGCATGGGGTCTTACGTGATAGTAGGTGAGTTACCCCAGCCAATAGCATCTAAACAAGATGCGCTGATGCTCCAAAGCTGTTATCCATATTCGAAAATCCACAGATTGGAACTGAAACGTGATTACCGACGTTTCGGGTGCTTTACAGCAGCCGTGGTCACGGGGAGACGTTCGGGAAGAAAATTTGGGCTGTAGTCAAAAAACGTCGTTAAAGTTTTTAATTAAATGTGTACTACTCGCGTAAACTACAGACAATATTTAATTATAAATTGATTAGAAAAATGTTAGACCCGATGGGGATCAAAACCCAAGTTGATTAATAGCTAATCATTTGTTGTTAGGCAAACTCATTTGTTACACATACCTGTACTTATTTTTTTTAACAATAGAATGTTACCGAGTGGTGAATATTAAGTATTATAAAAGCTTCTTACACTTTTCAAGTCATATGTATTTAAACATATGTAACCGAACATATTAACTGGTAAAATATTTGTGTTACAAGAACCTTGCGTTAAACCTCTTATATTCTACAATTTCGTACAATTATATTCGTTAAAATCTTTCACTTCGCGCACTGTGTGTTTACACTTCCCGTCGGAGCATACTAAATTGTAAACAGCCTTATTAAGTTAATTAGGAAAAACAAAATACATATGTACTTAAACAGTCCTATATATGGCGATTTACTTCGAGATGACTGAAAAATACTACAACGAATATCGGTAAAATTGTAAAATACTCGTTACCTGTACTTGTACCCCTGTCTGTATTATTTTTATTAATTTGTATATGATTTAAAAATCGAATTAAATTGAAACAAATTTCGACTCGGGCAGGACTTGAACCGGTATCGTGAGCGTTCCATGCTGTTGCTCTACCAATTGAGCTACCGGGTCAATAGTGCCTTCAAGTGCAATATACATGTAAAAAATATTCAAGTTTTAAAATTTGTATATTTTTCGTCTGATTAACGCCATACAGGACAAAGGTCTCCTCTGTCATAAGACAGCGGGCTTAAGAGTTTAGACCCACCACACAACTCCAGTACGGGTTGGTGGGCTGTAATTACTATCTATACAAATATATAAAGCGGAAGGGTTTGTTTGTTTGTTTGTTTGAACGCACTAATCTCAAGACTACGGGTCCGAATTGAAAACATCTTTTTTTGTGTTGAAAATCTTTTAAAAAATGTTGTGTTGGTTAGAGCATTTATCGACAAAGGCTAAAGGCTATAAAGCATTGCATTTGACTGATAGAATCGAAGAATTGGAAACCCTCTAAGGTAAACAATTTTCTCCGTTTTTCCCACATTTAACGCGCTTATTAGTCACGTCGCGATGTGTTATATCGTCCTCGATAAATGCTCTCACCAACACAGAATATTATTTTAATTCGAACCAGTAGTTCCTGAGATTAGCGCGTTCAAACATACAAACAAACTCTTCAACTTTATACATTAGTATAGATAAAGAAATAGCTAAACTTAGCACAACGTATTTTAGCAAGTACTCGGACGGACTCCGTGCAAGGCCATTTACAAAGGTGCTCCAAGTGCCAATAATAATTAAGCTTAATGACGTCAGTTATGTGAAAGCCGGTTGAATGAAGCCTGCTTATTGCTTATTCCCAAGCAATATTCGTTTAGGAAATGTCTTTGCGAATTAAGAAGTGGAGTAAATTCAAGGGCGGGTTTGCTCCGATCGTTGCGGCGTTAGCAAATTGTGTTTGTTCGTCAGAGCTACTGTTGTAAGGTATTAAGGTGAATATTGTATGTTTTGTACTCTTTGTTCCTTTATTTCGAGGATTAACGACGATTTAATGAATGAGATTTTGAATGTCTATATATGTACGTGTTGACATAGACATTAAAGCCAAAGGGTTCGATTTCCATCTAACATGTTACTAATCGATGTACATTTTTACTGAAAAGTATTTATTTATTTATTTTATAGACCACTTTTAGTTCATAAAAAAATATATAAAATTAAAAGACTAATACATAAGATGTAGGACATTTTAATTTAAAATCACTTCAAAAATTGGATATTTTAAATGTATTCGTATAAAATACTTCTAGATAGTAACGTATAAATTAGAGAAACCGTCTATCTTTAATGACCCCTTGTGACCACGGCCGCTGCGAAGCATCCAAAACGTCGAGCCTTAGATCGAATAAGTTAATTATTATATTTTGCGTTTTAAACAGTTAAAGTAGTATTAAAAGGTAAGTAGCTATAGATTGCAATCTAGTCCATTACGTATTTCTAAATGGCAAAATATAAATTCGAATAAGACGTAAATATTGTATTTCCTATCAGTGTTATTTAATATAGTAATTTGGTTACTCACACACAACATCTAATCGGAAAGAATCTTCTAGACTCTGCCCAGGTAACGCGCTGTTGTCTGCTTGGCACTTGAGCTGCACGCCATCGTCTTCTGGAAGTGGTGTGAACTGTACCGTGCTGCTAACCCACGTGTCGTTCATGGCTTCTGTTATCTACAAGAAGAATAAAGGAATATGAACTCTTATATAAACTTTGATTGCAATATTAAATGATTTAATTACAATTTATTGTTAGTATCTCATTGTTAGTTCATCTAAGTTTTTTTTTTTAGCATAGACAAGCAGGGTTATCTTGATGGAAGGTAAAAATACCCCAGCTATATTAGATTTAAACAATATGTGCTATCGACCTCCATTTTGTCTTTCGGATTTCGGATATTCGGAAATTCACAGACTGAAACCTGCGTTTAACTTGTAAAGCTTTTTTGTCTGTGGTCAGTTGTTTAGTGACCGGGACGTCGGACGAAGTGTTTAGAAAGAAATATATAAAATACTATCTATAGTTTACGCGATATATTAGTTAAACTTATTTGAAAATGATTTTTAACGATGTTTCGCATGACGGGGAGACCCGTGACCACGGCTGCTGCAAAGCATCCGAAACGTCGGGCCGATATATTAGTTAAAAATCATTTTCAAATAAGTTTAACTAAAATATCGCGTTTTAAACCGTTAAAGTGTTTTATTCAAAAGCTATATATATATTGATTAGAAACTTCTTGAAAAGGGTGGGGATCGAACCCCTGACCCGTTGATTATTAGCAGTACGTCGCTATCATTCATATCATATTACTATAAACACAGTCATACGACCGACGACCCCGTCAAAGCCCGTCAGTTTTTATTACATAAAAACCACCCAAGATGGACGCTTAAGCATGAAATATCCAGTACAAAAATACAAGTTTCGGTCGAGCAGAGCACAGAAGTCTGATCAACTACTCGCCTGTACATACATCGTCCGAAACAGATATAACAATATGTCTGCCTCAAGTATCCTAAACAGAACCATACACAAACTATATACTAATAAAAAATAAACATTAAACTTTTACCATTTATTAAGTTAATTAGAACATATTAACGCTTTTCTTTCCCGAAAGAAAAAAGCTTAAGCGGGATACCTCAAAAAGCATTACGTTCGTTCCCGTAAAATAGCTTTCCGTATAATTAATTTGTGTACCGGCCCGACGGACACTGAAAGAGTACAATGACATGTTTTTATGTAGGTAGTGTTCATTAATTCTGATGTGAAGCTTCGATGATTATTCCCTCACGGTTCGGCGAATGGAATGAGAGAGTTTACGTCATAGAAATAATCATTTGTCTAGTGAATGGTGACGTGGGATAACAATAAGCGTTTAAGTACTTAAATACTCTTTTAGCTAAAAGCAATTGTTGCAGCATTTCGAATTTGTAACTTTCACACGTTAATAGCTACAAGTAATTAAATACTGTAGTTTACGCGACTAATTAACAGTATACTACATAATTTAAAAAATCAAAAATAAATTGAAAAAAATTAATTTGTTTGACTCGGGCAGGACTTGAACCGGCGAATCGTCAGCTTTCCGTGCTGTTGCATCTACCAATTGAAGCTACCGAGTCAACGTCAACGAGCTGTGACTAGTAAAAGCAAAGAAACCTTGTGGGTTTCCGTTGTGTACGCTGCGAAAACGGTCAAGATACCCAAAAAATAAGTATAAAAGAATTAACAAATGAAGGTTTAACAAATCTATAAAGATGAAATAGAGGTTTGTAAAAATAATTTTCATGCCCAATATATGTGCGATCGAAGTCGCTGACACAGCTAGTCTGATATATAATTCTCAGAACATGATTATACAATTGTCCTACAACAACAGCGATTCCACGAAAACATTTCTTAAAATACTCCGCTGTCATAAAGCAAGATAAAGAATTATAAACAATGGGGGTTTACCTTGCCCCTAGTGAATTTCCTATTGTCCTTGAACCAAGTGAGCTGGGCGGGCGGGCGGCTTCCCTCCGCCACACATGATAAGCTGACATGCCGCTCGGACGATAACGTCGGCGGCTTCTTCGCTATCTGCACCAACGTCGGCCTTACTGTAACAAATGTATGGCTCATATCTTAGGAGTTTGGACAGTGGAAATGGGAGCGGTCTTAATAATTTCGGCTCGACTCAATTAAATGTCTTAACTGTAGACATTTGTCTAAGAAAATCTCTGTGCAAGAGTTAATTAAACCATACAATTACTACTAATTTTTCTAGGACATTATTGACCTAAGTAAAATAACAGCTAGTTAACATTTACGAATATAACATTGTCAATACACATTAAATAGAATAGAATCGTACAATATTAATCTTAAAATTAAACAAAGAAAAACAGAGTAGGAAATATTTGATGAGTGTTAAATTGCATTTTGATTAGATATGTTCCACTATCTAGTATTTATCGCATAGAATTGTTAGGAGTCATCGAAACGAAAAAAGTATAAATTGGAAGTAATATAAGAATTATTATAAATCCTGAACAATATACAATATACAAGACTCACTCGTAAAAATGTTACATATATAACATAATTACTAGTAGTAGTAGGGTATTTACTCTTAATTATTAATACATTAAGGTGAGCAGATATACTTGAATTGAATTGGTGCAGGTAAAATGCTAACATGATGATAAAAATACATAGTACAGTTTTGATCATATAATTACCGTTAACAAACAAACCCACGTCTGTTAAATTAAATTGTCCATTTTAAAAATAGAATTCCATAATAAGGTGACGTAATTACGCATACTTACAATTCATTTCTAACCGCACCGTCTTTTCTTGAGGACTGACGAGGTTCGTGTTCGACGCTCGACACTTGAAGGTTGTGTTCAAATGGGATCTCTTGACGTGGGGTAACTCAAGTTTGTTCACGACGACGTGAGAGTCGGACTTCTCGCCGATGTACTGTGGCGCTGGTACACCGTCTATCAACCACAACACTGTTGGGGAAGGTCGGCCTAAGGAAAAATAATTTTAGTTATATAGGTTTGTATTTTATGTTAAATCACGTTGAAATGTTTAAAAAGTTTATTTTTTACATGTTATTCCACATTAAGGCACTATATAATTTAAAAATCGAGCTACCGAGTCCGAATTGGTAGAGCAACATCACGGAACGCTGACGATGCCGGTTCAAGTCCTGCCCGAGTCGATTTTTTTTTTCAATATATTTTCGATTTTTGAATTACGTTTAAATGTTTATTAGAAGTTGTTCGTGTTTTATGGCTAAAATCATGTTTTGTTTCTAATCGTAAACTCATAGAGACAGGTAAGATTTTTTCAGACTATGACGTGTTTCAATTTTAATACAATATATAATAATATAATAGTTAGATAGATAATAATCATATAAAATTCAATTCATTTTTTTTAAATACAGAGAATAAACTGTAGACATTCTATTGAGTCGACGGTAAGATAATTGTTAGAATGTGACGTAAATAACAGATTGCTAACATGTATTTAAAAAAAATATTATTAACTACGACACAAAAATACTGTAAATATAGTAAAAAAATTGCAAAACAACGAATAAATATTTTGTTCATTTTTATTTAATTTCTGTGGCATTATTACTCTGGAGATATAAAAATAAAGACTAACTACGCTGAATTTACAGTTTATCATGGAAAAATCTAGGCTAAACCAAAAAACTTCGCGCATACAAAATTTAGGTCACACACAATTTCTTATAATCTAGTAATCTCCAGACAGTTTTCAACGCTAACTCTTTATAATATACGCTCGACTTTGCATTTTTAATACAAAGGCTTGTTTGTTAGATATGATCAACAATTAACAGTTGCTGTTAGCCGCGAACGCTTTAAAGATTTTATCGTGAAACTAGGAAATGTGCAGTTAAAAGGCGTATAGCTAACATGTTTACGATAAATCTGGTTCTAGCCTGCAATTAAAAATCCAATTTCGCGTTGAAACATTAAATTGAATGTTGTTTATATTTTATTACCATTTTTACTAGTTCGTCCTATTCCTTATCTTTTAGCCCCGGGCAATATTTATAAACAGGCCTCTAACTTTTTTTGTTCTTTTTTTTACTAATGTGTGTGAATGCCTAATACACGCCCACGTGGGACAAGAGTGACGTTGGAAGTGTGGTAAATCGTACTTCAACTTCCTCAGAAACAACAGCCGACCAGAGCCACAAAACACACCACCTGGGAACATGCTTGTACGACTCCAAAGCTCAAGGAGAAATAGTCTCCTAACCTTCGAAGTCTAATCAACTTGCCAGAAAATTGATCAGTAATTCAGACATATATTTACGTTTGCCGCAGAGCAAAGTAAAATTGCCTCTTTAAAAGTAAAATTCCCACTTTTAACTGACTATTCGTGTTAGCTTCAAATAAAGAAATTGTGGAGTAGTTTGAGGTAGGTCAAGTATTCGACTTTTCTTTTCGATTGCTATGAAATTGTTTACTTAACCTAAGTATTTTTTATTTAATTGATGGTTTGAGGCACATTTATAAAAAGCACGATTTAGTAGGCAACCAAATTAAAAAAAAACATTAATTGGAGCTAGGAAATTCACAGCTTGACATAACAAGGCACATTTATCAATAGGTTGAAAAAAAATTGACGATGACATGTAGAACACGGTAGCTCAATGGTTAACCAAACAGCTGGTTTAAGTCCCGCTCATGTCGTTATTTTTTTCGTCGTAATCGAAAATAAATCGATTTTCAATTTCTGCTTATAACCTTAACAGACTGTTTTCCGTTCGAAAAGACACGTCGTATTGTCAATACTTATTCTACTGCGAGAATATTGAAATAGAACTTAAAAGTACGGATTCAATATCATGTACATTAGATAAGTTAGTTTGCCATTAAATACTGTCTGTAGTTTACACGAGTAGTACACATTTAAATAAAACACTTTAACGGTTTTAAACGTGTCTCCCCGTGACCACGGCTGCTGCAAACATCCGAAACGTCGGGCCGTAGTTAAAAATAATTTTCAAACAAGTTTAACTAAAATATATCGCGTTTTAAACCGTTATAAAATCGCGTATAAAACTTTATGTTATAGTAGTCTAAAGAGACCGAAATATAAGTTGAAATTAAAGAGAGTGCATTATTTATATAGAAACGAAATCTTCAGAGCCCGTTTCCTCCTGGCTGGAAGCCAAGCGAAACTTTCGCGTTTTATTTCAACAGATATTGCAAAAAGTGTCCAATTTAAGAAAGCTGTATTTATTTATTCTATACATATAAAATGCAAGTTTTTGAACATAGTATTGTAATACGTATATAACAGTTGGTTCGTTATTCAAGTTAAATATACTTATGTAGATATTTTTTGAATTCCAAATTTCAAATTTGAATTCCATTAACTACGAGTGAAACAGATTTTTATCTACCCCATGTCTCCGCACGTAAGGGCAACAGAATTTACTATTTAGTTGCGTATTTAAATGCGGAACCCTATTACCAAGGGTTTTCCAGCCAGAAAGACCTTAGAAATAGGGTTCCGTGTTTTTCGCATTTTCTGTATTCTAATTTCAAAATAGTCGCACAAATATTTAAGGGAGTCTTAATATAGAATATTTGCTATGTTTAATAATAAAATTGTTTAAATATTTAATATTTTGAAATTAAATTATTAATTCTGAATTTAATATTTAATCAAATTCTAAATTAGCTTGTAGTAGCTTTAATATATAGATATAAAAGCTACAACAAGAACCCTGTTATTACCCTTTTTTCCTGGCATAACAATAATTTAAAGATGATATTCATAGTAGGGTATCGCCACACAAGTTTAATGCATATTAATTACATCCAATTTCTTGGTAGGTCAAGTTGTTACGTAAGTCGAGTTAAGTGGAAGGTTATAGAGGCATGAGTAAAATCGTTAGATTTGAACAGGGTCAAATATAGAAGTAGTGAAGCTTATGTGAAACTTCCTCGGGCTCGGGTTTGGATTCCAAACCGAGCAAATTGATTGGTCGGCATTGGAATATTTAGGAAGATAACACTTTTACGAGCCTGAATCTTGAAACTATTACAGTTATTAAAAGTTGACGGTATGTACAGATCAACAGATCGCGCGTCCAACAGTTAGCTAATCAATTTATAAATTCTTACATAATATGTTGGACTTCGTCTAGAAGTCACGAAGTAGAAGAGTGACGAACCACCGTCCACAGATGAAAAATCCGTCCAGTTAAATTGGATTAGGGTTTCAATCTGTCGATTCCAAATATCCTAATCCAAAATAAGTCGAGAGCGTCTCTTGATTTCCTATTATATGGCTAGGGCATTCATCTCCATACTTGTCTGTCCACTTCTATCATAAAAAAGTAGTAGACAGCGCAGTTGGTTCTCAAACCCTATCCCACCTGGGCGACGATTTTCATCGGTGATCACATGTCAGAAGATCTAAGAAACATTATACAGTACGACCTGTATTCGAAAACCGGATCTTATGATCCAAATGGGTTTTTAATGTTAAGCTCTATCCTTTCCTTTACTATGTCGAAATCGCTAGACTATACGGGCGCGGCTTTCGCTGTAATTACGTTATCGCGGTCCACGTCGCTCCTCTGTATTGATCATTCCACGTCACCCGTGACTGCTAAAACTTAGTGGGCTCAATGAAACTACATTTGTCTAATGTTACGTATGAAATCCCAAATTCCTAAGATCTTCCTTTTTAATGACAGCGGAGGACAGACAAGCATGGTGGTCACTCGATATATATCACCTATATACCCCTAGCCTATAGCATCTAAACAAAATGCGCGGTCGACCTATTTTGGCTTTGGATATTCGGAAATCCACAGTCTGAAACCGAAACGCTTTACAGCTTTTTCACCTCTGTACGGTACTTTGTGACCCAGACGGAATTTCTATATTCCAACCACCCATTTAATATTTAAATTTCCAGACGAAGTCGAACCTTGTTTTAAAAATCATAAACTAAAAATTAGACCCAGTGGGGATCGAACCCACGTCCCGTTGATTATTAGCCAACAGATTGACCGAGCAAGTCTATTTTCTAATGATTTAAGGACTTAAAACAAATTTTTTAACTTAGAGCTTGGAGTTAAAGGAATCCACTTTAGCAAAAAAATAAATGTATTGCACTCTATGTACGTGAAGCTATTGATATGAAACTTTGCAATTAAAGAAGTCGAGTTTCTTGCAAATTTTTCAGTGGTGGGGATATTTTCGTATCTAAGTGTACCTAGTTACGCACATGTTTGTTTGCTTTTTAAATTTAATTTTTAACCTAAGTAACTGAAACTATCTGTTTATATATTTTAATATAAAAACATGATATATAGTTGTCTGTATAACATCGTTTAAAGATTACCTATAGAGTTGTTCGTAGGGAGAAGTTCTCTGATTCGTCACATTGTAGATCATATTAGGGACGAAAATCAATAAGTACAAATATTGTACTAACAAAGCAAAAATAAAAATATACCATTGTAAAAACGGATCTACGTGCACAACTTTATTTTAAAATTGCACGTAACAATTGAAAGAGGACGTTTTATGGGCGCGTGACCACTATCTTGTTTATTTTGCTATTTTAATGGCTTGTACATGAACACTTTTTATTTACTAAAACAATTGACAAAGACTTTATGACAATATTATCTGTAGTTTACTTTACAGTTTATAGTAGTTAACATTTAAATGATATTTTATTTAAAACGCATGATATATGTCTGTGCTGTTATTACGTTCACCAAATCAACCGAATAGTTGTTTAGCACGTACTAATATGAAGTACGTAGCTGAAGAGTTTGTTTGTTTGAACGCGCTAATCTCAGGAACTAAAGGTTCGAATTGAAAAAATATTTTTGGATTGGTTAGAGCATTTATCGAGGAAGGCTATGGGTTATAAAATATCGCCTTGGGGGGGAGGAGGGGGGGGGGGGGGGGGGGAAGGGGGGGGGGGGGGGGGGGCGCCCCCCCCCCCCCCCCCCCTTTGTAGGGGGGGGGGGGGGGGGGGGGGGGGGGGGGGGGGGGGGGGGGGGGGGGGGGGGGGGGGGGGGGGGGGGGGGGGGGGGGGGGGGGGGGGGGGGGGGGGGGGGGGGGGGGGGGGGGGGGGGGGGGGGGCCAAAAAAAAAAACGGAAAAAAAAAAAGAAAAAAAAAAAAACAAAAACAAAAAAAATAAAAATTTTTATTATTTTTTAAAGGGAAAGGGGGGGGGGGAAAAACCCACAAAAAAAAAAAAATAATCCCCCCCCCCCCACAACGCGGAAAAAAAGAAACCCCCCCCCCCAAAAAACCGCGGGGGGGAAAAAACCCCCCCCCCCCCCCCCCCAAACAACACCCCAACACAAAAAAAAGGGGGGGGGGGTTTTCCCCAAAAAAAAGGGGCCCCCCCCCCCAAAAACCCAACCCCCAAAAAACCCCCCAAAAACCCCTTTTTAAGCGGAAAAGGGAAAAATTTTGGGGGGAGGAAACCTAAACCTGGCTGACCACACCACAGTCCGTGCTGCAGTTCTTACCAATTGAGCTACCGTATCATTATATAAATTAATTCTTCGAGCAATCGAGGAGTCAACATCTCCTGATGATGCCGTCCACACGTGATGGCGAAACGTCGAGAACCTCTTACCGTGGCCGTGAAAGCCTTACACAATTTATTAAATTAAACATATTTTTAATTTATATAATGCCATCGTGTAAATGTACAAAATATTAAAGCTTTCAAATATTTTTATCGAGATAAACTGTTTTGTTCCATATTTAATTTACAAAATTGCTGTTACATTTTTATATCAAATTTCGAGCAAAAAGTTTTATTATCATTATGGATAATTTGAACAAAGAATATAACATAAGCTTACCAAAATCACATAAACAAGTTACTAATGTGACAATGGCGCATTAAAAATATCCTTTACAATTAGCTTAAAGTACATAATGACCGACAAATTTGACCGCAAAGTGGCATGAGACGACAACCCTCTAATCCCAAAGGCTATGCATAATTCCGCGAAAACCTTAAGCGTCGGGGAGATTAGCCCCTATTTATACAGGGGGATTTCATTATTTAACATAATATTTCGGGAGTCCATAAAAGTGCAACTTAGGAGAATCGTTCTTGGCCCAAGTTGTCTAATGGTGATGTCCTATTTAATGAAAATATAGTAAAGATGTCTTTAGTTAGTTCGTAGACATATGGAATGTATTTAAGTATTTTCTGTAGTTTATCCGAGTAGTAAATTCAAATATAACACTTCTTAACGGTTTAAAATAGGAAATAAATTAGTTCACTTATTTACAATTTATTTTAACCACAGCCTGACATTTCGGATACTTTGCAGGAGACGTGGTCACAGGTGTTTTTAATCAACTACTAACGCTACTAACGCTAGCGCCATTAGGGATACCGTCAAGTGATTATAAGCCATCAATTCACAAAAAGTATGCTTTGCCGACCTATTATAGTTTTTGACACTCATAAATCCACATAATTAAACCGAAACGCGATATCGCTCTACGACTGTTCCATCTGAGAACAGTGATTAGCGACGAAATGGATTTTTGACATTTCATCATCCATATTATAATGTCCAAATGTTCATGACGAAGTATATCACGTCAAGCATCTGGTGGGAATCGAAGCCCCAACTCTTTTATTGTACATTTCTACCATTGTAATAAGAAGCTCTCTTTATAGTAAACTATAATGAAGTCAGTTATTTTGTTCTATAATAATTTTATGCGTTCTATCAAAGAGCTACGATATGTCGTAGCAATTTGCTACGGGACATCAAAGCGCTACACTACCATACAGATAATATATAAATACAATGTTCACGTTTCGACGTATTTCTATATCTTGAACTAATTTCTTTTTATATACCAGCATTGAAAGTAAATATTCTATATCAGTTTTGGTTAAACACTTCTTATAATTGTGTAACAGCTAACCAGATATCCAGGGGTTGTGTTTTTATACATTTTATTTTATATTTTTCATCCTCAACTATGATAAAAAAAATTTATAGGCATAAGATTATTTAGCTGTATCAAGTTCAGTATAAAATATAATCTAAGAACCCTCTATAACATTTTATATTACGATATTGTTACAGCGATCGATAGATAACAGAGATTCCATGTGGTTCGGCGATTACATTACATACAACTAAATACATAAAGACGTTCACTATTTCATAATAAAAAAGTGTCGTTAAAAAGAGATAATTTTCAATACATAATTATTCGTTTTTATCTATGTTTGATAGAGGAGGATAGACAAGATTGGGGTTGACTCGGTGGTAGAAATGCCTCAGCCAAGAAGTTAAACAAAATATTGTGTCAACCTATTTTTTTTAAATATTCGGAAATCCTCTGCCTCAAACGGAAACACGATGAAAGTTCACAGCTTTTTTATATGTGAACTGTGGTTTGTGATACAAACGGAATTTTGTTATTCCACCCATCTAATATCCAGATTTCCAGAAGCCCAACATGTTACAGAAAAATTATAAATTGATTAAAAACATGTTGGATTAAATACCGTCTATAGTTTACGCGAGTAGTACACATTTAAATAAAACACTTTAACGGTTTAAAACGCGCTATATTAGTTAAACTTATTTGAAAATGATTTTTAACTTCGGCCCGACGTTTCGGATGCTTTGAATTGTCTTGCAACTGTCTCCCCGTGACGGCTGCTGCAAAGCATCCGAAACGTCGGGCCGAAGTTAAAGATCATTTTCAAATAAGTTTAACTAATATATCGCGTTTTAAACCGTTAAAGTGTTTTATTTAAACATGTTGGATTCCATGGGGGTTGAACGCACGACCCGTTATTAGCTATACGATTGATACTTAGAAAACGTTACGCAAGCACTCTCTCCCGAGACGTTAGATAACTTAACGCCGCTGCTATTGGGCGATCTCACACTGACTTATCGGTAAGTTTAAGCCCGATATATCAAAGTAATCGGTTTAATTTCTCATCTCCCACTTGAGGGAACTGTTTAATCCTCCGGCTGGACTTTATTATAACGATTTATTAATGATCGATGTTCGATCTCCTTAAGTATTCAAATAGAATGAACTGATATACTTAAACTGGTTGGCAAACATTATTTTCGGTATATATTGAATAAAAGTTGATTACCATAAACACAGTTTTTGTAAGCTAATTTTAATATACTGTCGCGAACATTTTAAAAATTTAATAAAAAAAGTAATTTTTATTTTCTACACATATTTTGGTTATTTTAAACAGTTAGTTGTTACGGAAAACCTCAAAATTTAAAAAAACCCTGTTTTTTTCTCATTTCCTATTATTTCATCGCAGCCATAATGTTTTATACTATATCCGAACCGTCGGGCCGAAGTTAAAAATCATTTTCCAATAAGTTTAACTAATATATCGCGTTCTAACCGTTAAAGTGTTTTATTTAAAAGTATTAGAGTTTGACGAAACATAGTTGATGCCATTTTTAATAGCCATATGGCCACTACGTCGTTTCTTAGTACTATTATAAAAATCTGGGTCACCCGGTGGTAATTAAGAGCATCGCTCGCATGAGTTCACGATATTCAGTTATGCAAGTGTCGGCGTTGATTGGAATACATAATTAGAGCCGATGAAGATGTCGCATGTGTCAAGTAAAATGTCGTGCAGCCATTCGCTTAAGTTCCTTGGGGAGTCAAGATAATATGTAGTGTTAGTGTAACTTTAACTAATTATTTCCTTAATTATAAAAAAGTAACGTGCATAATAGTAGAATGTGATTTGTCGAGCTTGTTCGTCTAATGGTAATCGAAGGGTAATTTATATTTTTTCGGAAAAAATTTTTTTTTTCGGCGGAAAATGGGGGGGCCCGCCCACACACGTTTCGTGTTTCTATATTAGTCTGTGGATTTCCAAATAATTGAAACCAATGAATGATATTATTATGACTTGGTATTTCACCTTCCATCAACCTCGTGATTGCAATGTCCTCTACATTCACCTCTCCTCTAAGAAAAAAAATGTTCATTCATGAAGCAGGAAAATGTTGTGGTGTATTTTACTGTTACTATTACTGTCAATACTGTAGATATAGAATTATGATTTGAATTTGAATAGTGAAAATTAATTAAAGCAATTATAAATATAGAGACCACCAATCATACCTCGGTACAAGAACTGTTTGTTTATGTCAATCACTTAAATTTGGAACTACGTGTTATATAAACCAACAATGTGGGAGATCAAGAATAAGTAGTCCTGCTCTATCAATAAAAACATATCTATCTTAATATAAACCTGAAGAGTTTGTTTGTTTGAGGCGGTAACTCAGAACTACTGAATTTTTCAATTCGAACTTCATTCAATAAAACTATTCATTATTATGGGATTCCGGGATACTTGCAAAAACGGTTCAAGATACCAAAAAATTGTGTAAGAAAGAATGATTCCTCTTTAAATGATATAAAAAGTCAGCAACACTATATATAAGAGCTACGGGAAGGGACGACGTCGTGGGATAAGTTTGTAAAGAGGGGTTTGCAAAATGCGGACAAAGTCACTGACACAGCTAGTATTGTATGAAATGTTAATCATAATTAGGTAGGAGTTTTCAGTCTACATCATGACTTTAGTAGGTTTACACTCACCTCCTCTGACCTCGCAGACGAGCACCAGTTCGTTGCCTTCCTCCAAGGGTCCCACCACGCCGGACACATCGCGTCCAGACTTGTCGTACAGTATCAGTTGATGTGGTGGTACTGAAACAAGTAATAAATGAGGTAACACAATTATTTTTAAAATATTGCCTGTCACTTATTTACCATACCTTCTGTTTTTTCGGTCGGCTCGTTTAGAAAAAAAAAATTAGATTCTGCAATACCCATATTTGATATTCAATGTCTCATGGGAGTTTTATTCTTTTTAAGTTTTTATTATTTACATTTTTATATTGTATATTTTCGTTTACCTTGCACATTTTTTTCTCCATAAACTAATTCTTCTTTTTCTACAAGAGATCGCTTGTTATCGATAAGGCCGCTTAAAGTCTCGTTTGTTAATTTTATTGTGTCTATTGTTCAATAAAGTGTGAATAAATTGCAGTGTATTAGACAGATCTTCAACTAAATAAAGTGTGTGCTTAAATTTTTACCGAATGTTAATATAATTTAAAACAAAAGATTCAAATCTTTAGTGTTAAAGTCTAAAGAGGGCTGTTAACTAAGACAAAATTAAATTTATTTTTTAAATAATTTTTCCTTTTGTGCTTTGTACTTAATTTTTGTTTTTTTTTTATGTACTTAATTAAGCTAAGCTCCTTTGCTTCTATGAACATAATTAACTAATAAACGATGTTTAATACAAACCTTTATAATCGTGTTTAAAAATTGCTTAGCTTGCGTGTTCCAATCCTTTTAAAAAAGGTGTAATTACGCCGTAAAACATTAGTCTTTTGTAAAGAAGAAAATTAATTATGAGACGTTTAAATTGTTAATGATAATGTCTGTTTAAATAGAAAAATAATAAATAGTTATTACTATACACTATGTTGCTTCTGTAGACCAATGGTTAGTGCTTCCAGCCTCCGAAAAGTGTGTACTTTCAGATAGAAAAGAAAAAGTATCTTCAGTAGTTTTAACATGTGAAAAGCACAAATTGACAAGTTCTAAACAGTTAAATATGTGAAACACATTGTTAATATACGCAGTATTACGTGTATTACGGAAACGATTATAAAACTGGGATATCTTAAGATAAAACTCGGCGCGAACTGTGTCATATACAACGTAGTACTAGTAACTAGTAAAGTGCCAGTAAGTTAGATTAAAAGAACTTACCGGGAACAAATAAGGGTCTAAAAACATAAAATTACTATGTACGTATAGCTTGTTTCTTCGAAGAGACCAAAATATGAAATCTATTTATGAAAATTAATAATCTATCTAGATTGAAACATTTTGACGAAGTTGGCGTGACTTGAACCGGCATTCAGTGCTTCGTGTTATCAAATCAATTGAGCTACCCCACCCGTGTCGTCACTTTTTAAAAATCTAAATAAAGTTTTGTTTCATATAATATATTGATGTACAACAACGTCTGAAAAATTATTGTTTTCTTATATATTGGTTGTGAAGTTTAATATGTTTCATGCAAATATTATCAAAATACGTGGCATCATATTACCTTAGAGATTTTTATCCCGCAAAGAACTGTAAGTCAATAAATGTTTATCCAGGGGACGAATGAAAATTATTACTTAGACCCAATTACATCTAACCTAAAACAATACCATCGGAAGGCACGTAGGAGGGAGGCCGACCGCAAAATTCGATTTACGCGCAAACCTTTCTACTATTTGCGACGAAAGTAAACCTTTGTAAGCCACAAAATAGCGAATGGGATCCCGACATCCACGAGGCTAGTTAGTAGTCATTACAAAGGCGACCGTCCGCCAAGTTGCCTCCCGATACCGGAATCAGAGGCCGCCGAAACAACGTCCAATTTAAATGGAATTTCATAGTTGGCAGCCTCAATTAAACACTGCCTTCTCGACCGATATGACGTTTGTTTTGCCGTAACCGAACCAATTTGCATTTTGATGCACGCCAGCTAATTACGCCGGTTTATTCTAGAATTTTATTGGCTTTGTGAAATTTTCGAACACGCGAAATTTATGCCGATATTGGCTGTGCCAGCGACTTCGTCCGCGCGTAATTATTATTTTGGACGTCAAAAATTGTTTTCGCAAATCTCCACTCCATCTTTATCGATTATAGCTGTTACCACGACGTCGTTTGCGTCCCGTCGTTCTTGCAAGTGAATCTTAAAAGATAGTAATATATGTCATGAACATTTTATTAGACCATTTAAAGAGAAATCAATATTTTATATATATTTTTTGGGTATCTTGTTTTCGCAGCGTTCGCAAACCATCAAAGATGATTATGATAATATTTCCCTCCCGCTTTTTTCACATTCTCTATCATTCTCTTGTTCCACATTGTTTCTTGGCTCCCATAGGTCGAGTTGTTTTATAGCCTATAGTCTTCCTTAATAAATGCACTCACCAAACGAAAAATATTGTCTTAGTTCGAATTAGTAGTTCCTGAATTAGCGCATTTAATCAAACAAACGATCTCTTCAGCCTTATAATATTATTATAGAATACTATAATAGACAGAGGCAAAAACGCGAAAATCAGTATTTCCTACGTCATACAATAGCAGAAATTGATCTAGGTATTTACTAACAAGTAATTTTTCTGGGGCCACTGAAGAACCAGCTGTTCACCCAATTCTCCCTCCAACAGAAAAATTTTAAGTTTGAAAATTTTCATATTTTTTACGTGTATATAATTTAAAAATCGAAAATAAATTGTTTTTTTTTTTCAATTTATGTTATCAAACTCCCTCTGGATCCCCTCTAAACTGTGTGATAAACTCTGACCTACTGACGTTATTTATTATGTTCAGCATTCGAACCCAGGACGTCTCGTGCTTTACGTAATGTGTTTAACCATTGTACCGGAGAGACATAGATGTAATGGAGTCTATATAGTGTCCAGTTTAGAACTTTCCTGAAAAGAAGCGATTTAAGAGTTATAGAGGTACCATAAACTGGGTTGGCTTGTAATTGAAGTTTTGCATTTATTGGTATTTCATAGAGGTTCCAAAGTATAGCATACATTTTTAATAAAATAGTTCTGTGTACGAATAAAACTTTAGATTTTTTTTATTTTTAACAGATACTACTAAGATATATTGATATGAAAACCATGGCAGTTATTTAAAAAAATTGGTTTCAAAAATAAAACTAAATTTAAATAAAGCACTTTAACGGTTTAAAACGCGATATATTAGTTAAACCTATTTGAAACTGATTTTTAACTTCGGCCCGACGTCTCGGATGCTTTGCAGCAGCCGTGGTCACGGGGAGACTAAATATGGAGGATGTCTCTGACGTAAATGTCTACTATACTCGCGTAAACTATAGACAGTATAAAACTAAATTGTTAATGTTTGAAAATATTTAGCAATTTAAATAAAACACTTCTAGTGGTTTAGAACTCGAAGTGTATTAGTATACACCTTACATTCTCAGTCCTCCCATGACCAGGGCTACTGCAAGGACTGCATTCGAAACCGTGAAGCTTAATCGCGTTTCGGTGTCAGTCAATGGATTTACGAATATCTAAAGCCGAATTAGGCCGACAACACATTTTGTTCAGATGTTATATGGCTCGAGTATCCTCTCTATCGTAAAAAAAGGTCGTTTAAAATGCCAGAAATATTATGTAAACACAACTGGCTCGTGGTAGAGTTTTAATTAGATATTGTAATGGTTCCTACTATCTACTACTTCTGGTTATTATGCACTTGTTTACATCAATAGAACAATATGGTGATAGTAGAGTGTAGTTGAGACTTCGAAGTTATAGCGTTTGAATTATGCATTAGTATACACGCTAGTGCTTGTAAAACTAGTCCGGCATTCGTCGGAGTCCAAACACTTCTATTTGTATACAAATTACTCTAGTTTATTGCAAGATCGCGTTTGGGTATAAAATATTTATGCTCGTATTTATTGAAGGTTGTATTGGACAGGCCTTAATTCAAAGGTCGTGGATTCGAATCTTGATGAAATCTAATAAATTGTTTCGATAGAAAATTATTAGACAACATAATAATAATACGCTTTAAGCTATATCATTTAAAAATCTATTCAAATTTTCTTTTAAGTCCAGTAAGCCCTACATTCATTTTTAGTAATTTTCTAATACATCAGTGCTAACGGTTTAAAACGTGAAACATTTTTGGTTAATTTAAACGTAGTTTAAATTATCTAGCGCGGCTGTACAGAAGCAATTTTGACGTTTACCCACTTTCGCCAAATACCTACGACAATACAGATGGCGCTAGTGTAGCAGATTTGATTCTAATTTTAGGAACACCCTTCATTTTCAGTCCCCCCGTGACCACTGCAAAGCATCCGAAATGTTGTTACCGAAGTTAAAATAATTCATTAATTTCAAATAAGGTTGCTAATTCATTTCGCGTTTTAAACCGTTTAAAGTGTTTTATCGTCTTGATCATGTTAATTGACGTCTTGCACCTAACAGACCTTGTAGTTTGTTAGCACATCTTTGGAAACACCTTGTATATGCTTAAAACCTTTTCAGCGCTATTTTTACGATGCCCAATGAAAAAGATAGGGTCGTAACGCGGCGATCCTTACATGAGTAAGTGTACGTTATGATGCTCGCATATCACCCATTTATTGAATTTCAATTTTATTATTCTTTCCCTCAACAATAACTGAAGAGAATATTTCAATATAACAGCGTTTTCGTCCCCCTTTTTAGGCTTCTGTAATATATTGAGATTTATTTTTATTTCATAATGTCCTTTATCATATTAGTATATTAGTACAAAGTAATTTTGTGTTTATCTATATATAAAAAACAAAACAAAGAATTAGAAGCAAAAAGTTTATCCATTATACCAGGGCTGATCACAACTATTATTATTTCCTCGTATCAAACCCAGCGTCAAAGTGTCAAGCGTCTATAACGTAATATTAACATTAAATAGAATTAAAGATACTGTCTATAGTTTACGCGAGTAGTACACATTTAAATAAAACACTTTAACGGTTTAAAACGCGATATATTAGTTAAACTTATTTGAAAATGATTTTTAACTTCGGCCCGACGTTTCGGATGCTTTGCAGCAGCCGTGGTCACGGGGAGACTAAAGATGGA